CAAACGAGAGAAGCAGCGGATGCTTGCTGAGATGCAGAGCGCCATGAACCTGGCCAACAACCAGCTGAGCAGCCAGTGCCCGCTGGAGACCTCGCCCGCCCAACACGCGACCCCAGGCCCCATGGGCTCCTCACCACCCCCAGCTCCGGCCCCCTCACCCCTAGTGGGCTTCTCCCAGTTCCCACAACAGCTGACACCTCCCCGATCTCCAAGTCCTGAGCCCACAGTGGAAGATGTGATATCCCAGGTGGCCCGGGCCCACCGAGAGATCTTCACCTATGCCCATGACAAGCTGGGCACCTCACCTGGAAACTTCAATGCCAACCATGCAGCAGGCAGACCTCCAGCCACCACCCCACATCACCGGGAAAATCAAGGCTGCCAACCTATTCCCAATGACAACCTCATGGCCGCCCAGCGTCACAATGAGGCCCTGAACGGTTTACGCCAAGCTCCCTCCTCCTACCCTCCCTCTTGGCCCCTGGGCCCTGCCCACCACAGCTGCAACCAGCCCAACAGCAATGGGCACCGTCTATGCCCCACCCACGTGTACCCAGCCCCAGAAGGTGAAGCACCTGCCAACAGTCCGCGGCAGGGCAACTCCAAGAATGTGCTGCTGGTGAGGGCACCGGGGGTGAGGTGGGCAGGGGGCCTGGAAGACTGGATTTAGCATAGGGCAGCTGGGCGTGCCTGGAGGCTCATGCAAGCATGTCCTCCTCCCAGGGGAGGATGCTCAGCCCTGCAGCCAGGGCTCTTCCTGGGAATCACTGGTCTCCACCTGGCACCTGATTGCTACTTTACTGAAAGACCTATCCTCCTCGGCCACAGCGTCTCCCTCAGGCAGAACCTAGGGCCCAGAGCTGCAGGGGGAACTCATCTGAGCTTGCCTGGCTGATAACTCCCCTCCCCAAATCCCTTCCTCCTCCAGGCGTGTCCGATGAACATGTACCCGCACGGACGCAGTGGGCGAACCGTGCAAGAGATCTGGGAGGATTTCTCCATGAGTTTCACACCCGCTGTGCGGGAGGTGGTAGAGTTTGCCAAGCACATCCCCGGCTTCCGTGATCTTTCTCAGCACGACCAGGTCACTCTGCTCAAGGCTGGCACCTTTGAGGTAAGTGACCCTTTGTGCTCCCTGCTCTTGACCTTGGGAAGCACCCAACAGAAAGTCTTGGTGCATGCAGCAGGCAGTGGCTGGAAAGGCTTTGGAACCCCGGTGTCTGTGTCCTTACCGATTCTGACTGAGGAGGGGGCAGAATGCCTCCCACTCCTGCCTCCGGATGGCTGGGACTTTCGTCTTCTCAGCTGCGGTCCAATCACATCCCATTGCCCTAAAATAGCACTTTAGGGCACATCGCCACCCCCATTCTAGGCCTGAGCAAATTAATTTTAGTGACTTGCCCAAGGTCACAGATAGTGACTAAGCTGTGGCTCAGATTCAGGCCTGTTGGATCCCAAAGCCAGGGGGACATTTCCCATCCTTCCACCTCCCATTACCCACTCAGGAACTCTCCCCACTCTTTACTGAGAAATCTAGTAAACCCTTCAGAAAACTTCAGGGGTGCTTTGGCAAGTGCTTCTGCCACCTCACCCAGGATGACTGTCCCCCGTTTAGGTGCTGATGGTGCGCTTTGCATCGCTGTTCAACGTGAAGGACCAGACAGTGATGTTCCTGAGCCGCACCACCTACAGCCTGCAGGAGCTCAGCGCCATGGGCATGGGAGACCTGCTCAATGCCATGTTCGACTTCAGCGAGAAGCTCAACTCCCTGGCGCTGACCGAGGAGGAGCTGGGCCTCTTCACCGCGGTGGTGCTTGTGTCTGCAGGTAGGTCAAGCTTTCGCCTGAGCCTGACCCCGGGGAGGAGGCGGACGCAGTTCAATTGAACACACCTTTTATGGAGTACCTACTCTATGCCAGGCCCTGTGCTGGGCACTGGGGATACAGACATGATTCAGACACAGTCTAGCTTGGGAGACAGACTCATGCCCGACTAATTATAAAACAGTGAAATAAGTGTCACAGTAGAAGCATGAACCAAGGGCTTTGGAAGCACAGACAACTATTTCTGCCTGGGGAGCTGGGGAAGGAGGTGACACTTGAGTGGGGCCTCAAAGGACAAGTAAGATATTGCCAGGCAGGGGTGGGGTGTGGGGGGTGGGGAACAGGGAGGGCCAGGCAGAGGGAACTACAGAGCAAAAAGCAAGGGAGCCTGGATATGTTTGGCCTGTTCAGGGAAAGAGAGTGGCCTTCAGGGATGGGGGTGCCCAGCCCTGCTGAGCCCGTGCTCCCATGCTGGAGCGGAGGCCTCAAGGAGGAGGTGTACTCCCCTCCCCCACCCCCGGGCCCTCTGAGGGGCTTCAGGGGGAGACTGCATTGCCCGCCGCGTCCTCCTGGCAGACCTCGGGGTCCTCGTCAGAGGAGCTCAGGGAGCCTGCCTCACTGCTGTCGTCTTCCCCACAGACCGCTCGGGCATGGAGAATTCCGCTTCGGTGGAGCAGCTCCAGGAGACGCTGCTGCGGGCTCTTCGGGCTCTGGTGCTGAAGAACCGGCCCTTGGAGACTTCCCGCTTCACCAAGCTGCTGCTCAAGCTGCCGGACCTGCGGACCCTGAACAACATGCATTCCGAGAAGCTGCTGTCCTTCCGGGTGGACGCCCAGTGACCCGCCCGGCCGGCCTTCTGCCGCTGCCCCCTTGTACAGAATCGAACTCTGCACTTCTCTCTCCTTTACGAGACGAAAAGGAAAAGCAAACCAGAATCTTATTTATATTGTTATAAAATATTCCAAGATGAGCCTCCGGCCCCCCAAGACTTCATGTAAATACCTGCCTCCCTCCCCCATCACTGAACCACCCCTCCCCCCTATTTAAACCACTCGCTCCCCTCTAATTCTCTAGCCCCCCAATTTGTTCTATTCCTGTCTCAAATCCAATAGTTCACAGCTGAGCTGGCTTCTGTGGTGTGTGCTCGTTGGGGGTAGGGCGGGGCGGGGCGGAAACATCGCCAAGGCTGGGGGCGCACCTCTCCATCTGGTCAGTTTGTGGGCTTGGATACTCTGCCAGCAGATGGGAGGGTACAGGGAAACAGCACGCAAGTCTAAGGGGGTGCCCAAGGGGGTTATTTTCATCATATATTTATTACATAAATATATAGTAAAATAGACGAGCAACAATTACCATAAAAATATCTTTCTTTAAAATCCTGACCCAAAACACAACGGGATGAAAAATCGCACATAACAGACATACTGATTGTCAACGTGGGGCAGGAGTAGGAGCCCCCCCAAGTCACTCCTACTGGCCCCCCCCCCCGGGGAAGGGACCTACCTCCTTCCCTGTTTCTGGCCACAACCCCCCTCCCCCCCCCCCACCCCAGCACCAGCTTCTCATACATTCAGTAGCGCCTCCAGGGAAGTGTCCCCCTCCCCCCACCCAGGAGTTCCCAGGGCAGGAATTACTGTCCCCCTTTATGGACGGTGTCTATGTCACGTGCCCTGCCCTCTCCCAGCCCTGTAGACCCGCAACTAGGAGAAGGGGTAGGGGCTCCCCACCCCTACCCTCCCCAAGTCTAAGCAGGGAGGAGGCTGGATGAGGTATGTGTGTTATGAGTGATAGGACGGGGAATACTGAGATGGAGAGGTGGGTGGTGGGGGCGGGGTAGTGGTCATGGCTCTGGCACCCCCTTGTCCTGGCCTGGACCCCTCATCCTGTTCTCAGCAGCCCCTCCTCCCACCAATACTGCACCTACTGCCCCACCCTGCCTGCCCTAGTGCCCCGGGCCAATACTGGGGGAGACATGCTAAGCACCCACGTCAAGGGCATCCCCCTCATTAGCACCAATGGCCCCCAGGAGAGGGCCCTGTCCCCGACTTCCACAGCAGGGACTGGGACAGCTGCCGCTCTAGAGCAGGTTCATGGCATTCCTGAGTCCCCCCCTCTCCTCCCCTCCCACGTGTACTCGCTTGCACATTCACGCAGAGAAATGCACACATACACCGCACATCACTCCGAGTGAGGGGGAGGGGTCAGGGGAGGAGTAGGGAATCACAGCTCATAAGATTGGGGAGGGGTGTGGGGATTCCAAGTGCCTATAAGAGGCCAAGCCTCTCTGAGGCCTTTTCTCCACCATGTCCATGGCTGAGAATGGGGACTGAGGAGCAGAGGTGGGGCTGGAAGGATGGAGGAGACAAAAGACAGGTCAGGAGTTCCACTGGGCCCCCAGGGGCAGGGAGAGGAGGGTACGAGAGGGCTTGCCCATAGGAAAGGAGGAATACAGAAATCAGAGCCCCAGGAGAGAGGCGGGGGAGACAAAGACGGCGTGTGTAGCCCGCCTGCCCAAGGGGGCGGGACAGGCACACGCACAGGCGACAGTGGGTGCTCCTCCAGGCACCCCTCCGTGGGAACACCTGAACGGCAGGGAAAGGACATGCCCTGCTGGGCAGCATAGCATTTTGTGTGTGTGTGTAGGGGCTGCGGCAGGCTGAGGGTCAGGGTGGGATGGCAGGTTCCCCACTGCTTAAGACATTTTTGCCCCAATAGTGCAAAGCGCAGGAAGCCCTGGCACCCCTCCCCCCCACCCCATTCCCCATGGCTTCCGGGGGCATCTATGTCCACCCATCCATCCCTGCCGACGTACAGCCCTGAGCCCAGGGCCCTCTGGTCTGCTCTGTCCCTCCCCACCCTCCCCTTGCCCCACCCATGGGAGAGCTACCTCCTCTGTCCCTCTCCCATGCAGAGGGGGCAATAGCCAAAGGGAAGAGGAGGAAGGCAGCCACCCAAATGCAGACCGACAGAGTGCTCCTCACCGGGAAGGTGGGAGGTGGCTCAAGCCAAAGTCCCTGAATTAGAGAAAAGAGGAGGGGGAACGGGTCCCAGGGGCAGAGCGGCGGCTGGCCCAAAGAGCTTCAAAGAAAAAAAAAAAAGGAGGAGCACCAACCGCCCCCTCCCCCGGAGCCCCAACTAAGTGCTATTAATCTAAGCGCCCCCTTCCTTGGTGCCCACCCGCCTGCCCGCCTGCCCGCCCGCCCGCCTAGGGTCTGGGTTAGTGCGTGGAAGTGGGAGGAGAAGAGGAGGAGGGCAGAAGAGGAGGGAGTTAGAGAGAGCCCAGAAGACACATGGGAAACAGAGTCCTAAGAGGGTGGAGGCTCTGGGAGAAGCTCAAGCACCCCCCTCCTCGCCCCTAGTGCAGCAGCATCTGGATTGTAGCTAATACTGCAGGATGTGAGGAGGGCGGGAGCCTGAGCCACAGTTTTTCCTGTGTGGGTGCCAAGGTGCGGAAGGAGTTGGGGGGTGGGGACAGGGAGAGGCCCCTGGGGCTGGGCACTTGAAAGGGGAGCTGTGCAGGCAGCAGGGCAGGCTGGTGAGGGGCCAGCTGGCATCCAGCGTGAGAGGTAGATGGAACTCAGCGGGCACGAGTGGCAGAGAGCAGAGGGAGTCCTGGGGTGGGGGTGCCAAAGGGGCACAGAGGGAGGGGCAAGGCAAGGGGGGGGTGGCCAGGACCCTGTTGTGTTAACTCACAGCTCTGATCGGCAGCCCTACCCTTAGGGACCTTGTGTGGGGGGCAGTTCTCTCTGACTGGGGGGGGAGGGGCAGCTCTCAAAGTGCATGGGTGGGGGTAGGGGGATCCTCCCCTCTGGCCAGCCTCAGTTAATAACTTAATATTATCTCTCTCTCTCTCTATCAATCGCTCGCTCTCTCTTTTTTTCTTTTTCTCTCTGTCTAGTTTTTCTTCATTTATCTTCTCCCCTTGCCTGGTTTCCAAAGTGCAGTTAGAATGACTATAATTTTTAACCTCCGAGGAGGAGCCAAGCCAAGCCCTTCTTTGCACCCAGGCATCTGGGGAAGCAGAGAGGCCCTTAGCCTGTAGCCTGAAGGGGGAATCTAGGCCAAGGAACTGGACAGGGGGCTCTTGTGTGTGTGTAGGGGGTGAGTTGAGGGTATTCCCCCCTCAACGTTCCTGTCCCCTACAGTCAAGATGGCTTGTCCCCTCTTAGTTCTCCCTCCTTTCCCCTACCTTCTTAGAGGACACGGTCCCCCTCCCAGCCTCCCACACTGTCCTTTTCATAGCAAGTTCATTTGTTTGCCCTGTCCCAGGGCTGGAGGTTCTGAGGAGGGACGGGGTAGTGCGGGTGTGTGTGGGAGCTGAATCTATCCGAGGATGAGAGGAAGGAGAGAAGAGGTGTGGGGGTCTCCCTCAGCCCCCAGCTCTGCCCCTTCTCTCCAGGCTCCTCCCCACCAGCTCCGCACACCCTCTGGCCGTCTGAGGCTTTAGACTTCCTGATCCTCAAAGACCTCGAGGAAGAGTGGGGGGAAGAGTTCGGTGGGGCACTCGACTTTCATGTGGAGGAAGCGGCTGGCGTGGCAGGCCCCGATCATGCGGAGGTCAGTCACCTTCATCAGCAGCTTGGGCCAGAAGTGCGGAATGTTGTGTTTGCGGTGGTTGACGTAGTGCTCGAACGCCAGCAGGTACGCCTCCTGACTCTTCTCGATCTTGTCCACACACAGCAGGCCCGAGCGGTCTGCGGGAAAGGAGAGGCATGAGGGTGAGTGGGGACAGGGAGACCGAGGACAGAGGAGAGGCGCTGAGTGTAGGAAAACACGCTCAGGGGGCATGTCATGTGTAGGAGGAACAACTCGATGGCAGCGGGAGGGGGACCGAAGAGGGGAGGAAGCAAAAAAGACAGAGGGACAGAGAGGTGGGAAGGGAGAAAACTCTGAGACAGGACAGGGCTGGGGGCAGACCGAAGGGTTGGCGGTCAGAGAAGTGGGGTGGGAATAAGTATAGAGACGGGCTGGAAGGGGGCAGGGGAGAGGGGACAGCGGATGGACCAGGATGAGAGAGATGGCTTGGATGACAGAGGTAAGCTTGTGGGAGGCAGAGGTGGGCTTGTTGCGGGGGGCGGGGGCGGGTAGAGAGAGACTAGGATTGAGTATGGAAGAGGAGAACAGCCCTCCCAGCCAACCAACAGGTACCTGTTGACATTAGCAGCACAGCCTGCAGTAGAGCCACTTCTGTGTCATCCAGGTTAAAGGCAGAGAGTGACTTGCCCAATTCAAAGATGGCGTCGGAGACTACGCCCAGGCCGCCATTCTTGAGCTGCTCTCGCTTGACGGCCATCTCCCCGCTCAGTGTCAGGGTGTCGCTCTCAGGGTCATAGCGGACAGCAGCCCGTAGGGACATGATCTCCATGCAGCACCCCTTCAGGAGGATGATCTGGTCTTCGCAAGGCAGCTGTGGAGTGGCAGGGCCACAGGAACACTCAGCAGGCCCCTCCCCAAGAGCATCCCCTGGGGATGCCCCCTGGGAGCTGCGAGGCCCCCATTGGCCTCAGCCAGCAACAAGTACTCTGAAGAGCTAACCTTGCATTGGGCCACAGACACGCCCTATTTCTGGAAATCCCATAGTTATCCTATCATTATCTCCATTCCCACCGCAGATGAGGAAATTGAGATACCAGGGAGTTAGGTAACACAGCTGGTATGGCAGCCTGCCCCCAGTTGGTGCTCTTCAAGGTGGGAACTTCCAGGCCTAGAGTTGGGATCGGCATGGAGGCTTGTGGAGGAGAGGGGCTGGGAGGGGCTGGGAGGGGCTGGGAGGGGCTGGGAGGGCCTGGGCGGCACTGCAGAGACTGGGCACTCGGAGCCTGCCCGTTCCTTAGGGATCAGGTAGCTCGGAGTGAGTGTGTGAGGGTATGTGTGTGCTGGGTGTGTGTTGACCTAAAGGAATTGCTCCATGTCCAGAGAAACTCAGAGGAGCATGTGCTAGGACTGAGTGACCTGGGGAGCAGGTCCAGATTTCCCTGCAGTGTGTCACCATGTCTCCCCTCCCATCTGCTACTCACCTCGGAGAACATGGGCAGTTTTTTGGCAAAGTCCACCACACGAGTGATGGCCGGGGTGATGATCTTGGTAAACTCGCTGAAGGCCTCTAGGTCCACCTTGTCTCCGTCCGGCATGGAGACGATGGGTGACTGGCCAATGTCATCCGGCTAGAGGGAGAGACGGGGGTCAGCTGGGGCTGCAGACCCCTTTCAATCGCCAAGGCCCCCTGCCCACCAGGGGGAGCTCCAAGGCAGCTTGGGGAAGAGACACCGCCAGTACCTGGGACTGCTATGTCCTAGGCCTAAGGTTTCTCCTTCACCTTGGAGCAGAGAACAGACCAGGGCCAGAGCTCCAGGTCTGCTAGTATAACAATGATCATAGCGGTAGAAGAAGTAATGTCATAATAATAGAAGCTGTATTTATTGAGTCTTCAATATGTGGGCAGGCATTAGGTTACATATTTTACATATATTATCTCATTTAATCTTCACCACAACCGTATAAGATATTATAATTATCTCCATTTCACAGGCGAGGAAACTGAGGCATAGGGCAGCTAACTGATAAGCCCAAGGTCCCATGACTAGTAAGTTACAGAACCAGGTAGTCTGATTCCTGACCATTACACACACAGGTGCTTGGTATCAGAGCCCGTGTGCTTAACAGCACACCATCCCACCCGCTGGCATTCGCTACCAGAGACCACACGCCAGCTTCCAGCCTTCCCTGACCACACACAGCCAACTGTCCCTCTCCTCTCAAGCTGACCATTCACCTGGCACCCAGGTTTGCCAGGGCCTAACACAATGCCTGGCACCCAGCAGGTACCCCAAAATACTGCTACATGACTGTGTCCTCCCCCTCTCCTCCCAGTGACTGTGCGCAGGGAAAAGAGGAGCGGTTGCCGCTGCTGGAAATTCGATGAGGAAGGCAAGGCCCTGTCCTCACGTAGCTTCCAATCGGATGGAATAGGCAGGACCCAGGCAGGACATGTACACGTGTACAAATCAAAACCACCAAGGTGTGGGGAGTATCAGCTTTGGGTTAGATTAAACTAAGAGGGCTTCCTGGAAGAGGCAAGCCTCTGAGCTCGCTCACTTCTCCCTGGCACCTGGCTGCTGCTCCCTCCCATCCCACTCTCCCCTTACCAGGAATTTCCGTCTCTGCTTCCAGTGGCTGCCCTGGGCATTTGTGCTGCGATGGGCCTCCGTGGCAACATGGATCAGATCCCACTCTTCGGGAGTGGGCTCTGGTCGCTGCTGCAGTGATCGGATCATCTCCTCCTTCCGCCGCCGCTCCCGGTTCTGCTCAATCAGCTTACGCTTGGCCACCCGCTTTGAGTCATCTAGAACCACTGTCAACAATAGGAAGACATGTGCCCTTTGCATGGCGCTCTCCACAGCCCTCTTAGAAACTACTCTCCCCACTGTACAGGCTGGGGAAACTGAAGGCCAGAGAGGTGGAGTGGCTTCCAAATCCCCTAGCAGCGGGGTGGTGCAACCTGGACCATGATAATCACTGGGGTCTCAACTCCACTTTGGGCTGATCCAGAGGCATGGCAGGTTCTGGTGTAAAGGGATATGGTGATAGCAGTTACTAAGAGACCCTGCCACCCAATCCCTAGGCAATAAAAGACGTCCTCTCTCACCCAGAAGTGGGGTGTCCCCTCTGGTAGTCAGGAACCCTGTGCTAGGGTGGGGTGCTCAGGGCTTCTTCCTACCCAACGACTCCCTCTAAGGCCTGGAGTGGGGAAAGGCAGGTAAGCACTGGGGCTCGCAGAACCCAGAGGAATCCTGTTTCCTTTTCCCCAGGGATGAGGGCAGCAGGGACCAAGACTCTAAACATACATTTCGCCATCAGCCCGACCTGCATGGTCACTCTGCCCTGTGGGCCCTGAGGGCACTCTGGAAGGGAGCTGCCATCACTGAACTCACTCCCGCCCCCAGCCACCTGGCCTGAGACCCCCCCGCCCACCCCCTTACAGTCCATGGCCATGCCCACGGAGATGCACTTCTTAAAGCGGCACAGCTGGCACTGGTTGCGGGTGATCTTATCGATGACACAGCAGCTGTCATATTTGCAGGAGTAGGTGGGATGTAGGTTCTTCTGAATTGTGCGGCGAAAGAAGCCCTGGGGTGGGGGAGATGGAACATGTTGTGATCACAACCTCCCCTTCCTGAACTAACCACGCAGCTCCCTGGGGAATGGGGGATCAGCGAGGGAACCTGGCATGCCCCTGACACAGCAGGCCCAGGATCGCTGGGCTCTGCCGGGACTCAGGAGGACCTTAGGCACACACGCCCTCAGCTCCCCCGGCTGCTAAGGGGTGGGGGTACATGGGTGGGGGGTGGCAGAGGTGGGGATGATGAGGAAGTACAGAGAGCTGGGCCTGGGATGGTGTGAGGCCCCGTGAAGCCTGAGGAATAGCAGCATCGGAAGTCCAATTAATACCTGATTTCCATCTTTTGCTAAATGACTCTAAAACAACAGTGACTCCAAAACCATTCTCATACGTGCTGCCTGCTGCCCATGCAGGTGGAGCTCATGAAATGAGACAGGGGTGGGAGGTTGTCAAAAAGTCAAAATAAGGCATTTTGTATGAATTCTAGTAGCTTTAAAACAAAAATTTCAGTTCTGTACATCACATTGAATGCTCATTATGTGCCAGGCGCTTATAAGCCTTCCTTTTCTTTGATGCATCAGCACATGTAACACTCGTGTGAACACCATGAGGTAGGAGCTGTCCCTCCATTTTGCTGACTAGAAAACTAAAGCTTGGAGAGATTTAGCAACTTGTCCAAAGTTGCTTTATTTGCTTAAATTGCCCAAATGGCTAAGTGGGCACCAGAGCCAGAACTGGTCCTGAGGTATGGGACGCCAAGGTCTGAGCTCTCAGATTCTGGGGTGCATTAAAACCACCTAGGGTGCTTACCAAAAGCACAGATTCCTGGGCCTCATCTAGGCCTACAACATTAAACTCTCTAGGGGTGGGGTCAGGCATCTCTGTCCTTTTGAGAGGCTCCTCCGGAATGCAGGTGTCCTTGAGAGTCAGGCTCCTTGGTCTATGTTACACTGTTTGTACTGCTCCCTGAGACACTGTTATGGGATTCTAAATCCCTGATGGTCTTGGTTTGGTTGACACCAAGAAAGAAAAGAACTTCAAGCCTTTATATATATTTTTCAGAACGGCGGGGGGGCTGAGGTGGGCAGGCAGAGAGGGAAACATCAATTTGTTGTTTCACTTCTCTATGCATTCACTGGTTGCTTCTTGTATGTGCCCTGCCTGGGCATAAGACCTGCAACCTTACAACATTCTAACAGAGCTACCTGGCCAGGGCCCCTTAATATATTTTTAAATATTTCTGTTTCTTGGAAAATTTTACATTTTCAGGAGATAATGATCCTAGAAAAACCACAGAGGTTGAAACATCCAAAGTGAAACCTAATTAAGCCTCCGCAAGTCAATGACCTTGTCCCCTCTGCCCAGGGAGACCCTGCCATCCTCTTCTTCACTGGGCCCCACCACGCCGCCCCCCACCCGCCCACCCTGCACTGGGTCTCACCCTTTCAGGTGCAGTGGAAGCAACTGGGGAACTTATTTAAAGGCAGATTCCTGGGCTCCACCATAAAAAGGTTCTGCTGGGGTTGGGATGAGGCCTAGGGATCTGCATTTACCTAGTACTGCAGGTGGTCAGACCATATTTTGAAAAACGCTGATGTTGGTTTTAACTGATGTCTGTCTCTCTGGTAGGCTGTGAGCAGCTTGGGGACAAAGCATACTACACCCCTCACACCTAATACACTGAACAGATGAATGATGGCTGACATTTTGAGTGTTTCCTTTGCGTCTGTCACTGTTTCATTTTTTACATTTTTAATAAAGTATTTTTTTATTTATTAATTTCAGGAAGAGAAACCAATTTTTGTTCTATTTATTTATGCATTCATTGCTTGATTCTTTTTCTTTTTCTTTTTTAATTTTTAAAAAAAGATTTTATTTATTTTCAGAGAGAGGAGAAGGGAAGGAGAGAGGGAGAGAAACATCAATCCATTGCCTCTCACACACCCCCAACTGGGGACCTGGCCCACAACCCGGGCATGTGACCTGACTGGGAATCGAACCTGCAACCTTCCAGTTCGCAGGTTGGCACTGAATCCATTAAGCCACATGAGCCAGGGCACCTGGTTGACTGTTACATGTACCCTGACTGGGGATCGAACCCCAGAACCTTTTTTGTATCTGGGACGATGCTCTAACCAACTAAGCTGCCTGGTCAGGGCAGGGCCATCACGGTTTTAAATACTCCGTGAATGATCTCATTTAATTCTCCCAACAACTCTATGAGGTAGGTGACATGAATATTCCCATTTTATATATGAAGAAACCAAGGCTCAGAGAGATTAGGCATGTTACCTATAAAAGGCAGAGCAGGGATTATCAATGAATGAATGAATGAATGAATGAATGAATGAATGAATAAGAGAAGAGAAATGATGATGTAACAAGTGGGCTTTAGGTTACATGTTTATAGAGCCATCTGGTGTGCTGGGTGCTGAAGACCTTAAAAGGAATGAGATGGGGGCTCAGGTGGTGGGGGAGGGGCAGGAGCTGGCTGGTCCATACCTTGCAGCCCTCACAAGTGATGCAGCGGTAGTGATAACCGGTTGCCTTGTCCCCACACACGACACACTGCTCGTCTTTGTCCAGGTAACTAGGGATATACCCTGGGAGGGAGGAAGGGAGGCAGGCAGGCAGGCATGGCTTGGGCTCCCAGCAGAGAGGTTTCTACACTTTCTGCATCCCCCAACTTTTTCTTCCTGGCCCATCCCCTAGCCCAGCTTCCCTGAAGGGTAGAATCCTAGAGATACATTAAAGGTTATCTTGTCCATCCCCTTCCCTAAGAATATGGAAGAGCAAATGTCAGCAACTCATCTCAGGGGATACTGCCCCTCAGCCCTTTAACTCAGGCCCTGATTCTGGGGCAGGGGTGGGGGTCTCAAGCAAGGGGGTCATGGGAGAAGGGAAGAAGCCCTTTCTGACCTAACCCATCTGCAAGGCTGGGCCAGGCCCACATCACCCGTCTCACCTGCAGACAAGTCCATCCCAAGCCCTCTAGGAGGCTCTTCCTGTAGGACACAGGAGCTGCTGGTACATGCCCAGGCTCCAGAAGAGCCATGGTCTGGCTTGGTGGGGTTCAGGGCAGGGAGGAAGGGCACAGGTAGCCAGGCTCACCTGACATGCTGGTTTTCAGGGAACATTGGCCGTTCTTTCTTTTTCGCTTTCCATCTGGTGACCTGGCACTGGATGGGGACAAAGTGGGCAGAATCACAGCGCAGTCTTTGGGCAGCCCCCTTCTCATCCAACAGGCTTATGCAAGCCCCCAGGCCTGACTCCTTGCATTTCATGTCCTCATTCTACCTCCCATCCTCAGGTCAGCTGACAAAATAAGAAAGGTCCAGCTATCTAGACGCTTCAGAGAGGGAGATATAGGGTTTGGCTGGGGTACAAGCATGTTCCAGAGCCCCAACACACAAGCACGCACGCATGCACACGCACACATTCTAAAACCTTAAACACCCATAGTCTACAAGATAGCCACACTAAATATGTGTGGCTATCTTGTAGATTATACATGCAGTACATGTGTAAGTACATGTGTAGATTATACCCTCAGTACATGACACATGCAGAAAGAATCTTCAGGACATGCTTAAAGCTATATAACCTTTGGAACACACATATATAGATGCAACACAAGACCACTGCATATGAAACTATGCAGTCTTCAGTATAAACCCAAGCATGGTAAATAAGCATCAGGATCTACATATCTACGCAACTTTCAGGGCATTCTCAAATGTGTTATATGACTTCTAGGATATGTCCATGTGTTACGCAACCCTCTGGACAGATGCCTAACAATATCACCCCCCAGAAAACATGTTGTTGCTTGATTTCTAGGACATATACTCATGCTAATAACCACAGTGACTGAAAACATATAGTGCCTCGCAACTAGAACCTAGAACCAAGAATGTGGCAATAGGAAAGGACTTCCAGAGTCACCCTGTCCACGGTATCCACTTAAGAGAGCAACAAAAAGAGGTCCCACTTGTGCCTGCTGACCAGTGAAATCAGAGTCAGGACACGGACACTGACCCCCTCAATGCAAGGTATTAGTAAACCATGGCCACTGCACATATGTGTTGCCTGCCTCTCCACATACATGTTACATAACCTTAGCACACACAGGTTACATAAGCTTTCCACATGCATGCACGGATTGTATAACCTCCCACACCCATCCTGCGCGGGGCATGTTGCAGGGCCCCTCCCCCTGATGCAGCTCCCAACATACTGACACAGTGACCTTGGTCAGGGACACAAAGACAGCTCTGTGTTCCACGCTCCCTAGGGAATACCCCTGTATGATTTCTATGACATTTGGAAAGTCAGACCCCTCTCCCTCCTCCAGGAGGGGAGGGTGTGGCGGCACTCTGAGCCGCCTAGACCCCAGTTGAGCTGACGGTCTCCAGCAATCATTAGATTTAGTCTTTGGGTGCACTCCCAAGGACAGCCACAAGGTGGCGCAGAGACATGGGGGAGGGGAGGGGAGGGGAGGCTGAAGGGGAGGGGCTGCAGTTCTTGGGGGACCCGGAACCAGGATTCCAGCCTTTCTCTGGTTAGGAGCAGACTCTTCCAGATTCACAGAAATCTGGGCAAGGAGGTACAGAGGTTGTCAGTGAGAGCTACGCAGTGACACGCCAATCTTCTTTTTCAGCGCCTCCTCTGGAGCAAGGCTTTGGGAAGGGGAAACTCCAGGTATTCTACCCACTGCCAGCTCCATCCACTTCCTACACCCCTCCAGAGACCCAGTCTTGGGCCTCAGGGCTTTGCCTGGCCAGGCCTCTGGCCTCCTGGCTCAGGATCTGGTCTCCTAGGCAACAGCCACTCTGCTCCCCAGAACACTCCATCCCCCACCCTCTCCCTGGCCATAGACACAGACTGTGCCCAGCTCCAGGGGCACCACGCCAACTGGCACAGAGTTCTGTGCCACTTGGAGTTAATGGGAGAGGTAGAGACCCTCTGGGCCCGACTCTAATTCATATCACAGGTAGCCCATTCCTAGCAGTGAGTGTAGGGCTGATGCCTCCTCCATGTGTGCACAAAATCTTTACTTGGCATTCACTTCTGCTTCCTGGGAGGAGCCCCCTGGCAGTGCCCGCCCTTGCCCATGAACAAGGAAGAGCTTGTGGGGCTCCCAAAAGGTTCCAAATATAAGTGTGGGCTGTGACAGACAGTTACTAGTGCATGTGACATGACTGCTCACGGCTAACCCTGAACAGTCACGTCACATGCGCTGTGGCTTGTGGACTACAGTTTAGTGGTCAGATGTGAACAGGTCAGCAGGGGGCGGAGGCAAATGGAAGGCTGTCAGCGTTTCACGTGCTCCGATGAGGGTGGCTGAGGGGACACTGGGGGCATTTGAGACTGCCCAGCACTGTCACGGGGGGGACTGCATGCCTGCTTTGTGTCACTTCTCTGCTCTAGATCACTTCCCCACTCCAAAATGGGTACCTCTCCACCCAGGTGCCTAATTCTCTGTCACACGTGAACACGACCTCATCTCCTGGGCAAAGGTAGGCAGCAGGCTTGCTGGCCTTCCACCCTCCCCCCGCCCGAAAAGGCCCAGGCGCAGCTCTTTGGCCCAGGCAGGCGGCCATGCCTGCCACGTAGGAGCTGACGCGACCTTGTCGCTGGGCCCGTTACCTGTTCTCCTCTGGGTCTGACCCACACTCCACCTTGCTTGGCTTCTGTTCCATTCACTTCAATTCCATCCAGGATGCCCTCCAGCACGCCAAGAGACTGGGGTGGGCACACTGGCCCCCCCGGCACACCCACAGGCCGCCCACCCCCCGCCACCCAGGCCTAGGGCACAGCACCCATGGTGCCCGCCTCAGCACTTGGCCTTTCACACCATGCCCTGCGCCCCAAGGGGGGTGGGCGGTGAGATGGGCCAGGGAGTGGCAGGTGGTAGTGCTGGGGGGAAAGCTGGGGGAGTCCTGGGCTGGGGGAGTAGCTTCAGAGTCTTGTCCTGTCCAGAGGTCCCTGCAGAGAGAGGAGAAAGGCAGGGATAAGGTGGCACCCTTGTGGGATGGGTGGATAGGAGTCCTTTGGTGGCAACATTTTGGGCTCTTGGGGCTCATAACAAGATGGTGGTGGGCATGGAGGGCAAGCACATGGCGAGAACGAGGATAAGCCCTCAGCTCAGCGGGTTTTAGCAGGCAAAACTGGAGATCCATGTCCTAAGCCCCAGACACGGAAATGGACGGAGGGAAAGAATGAGCTCATCCATGCACCATGTCTAAATTCTGACATTCAGTCAAGTATCTCCCCCTTAACAAGTGTCTATTAAACACTTGCGATTGTTACCACCTATCTAGCCAAGTTTTCATAAAACTCGCCACACTATAGGGCAAGAGGGGACCAGCGATGATCAGTTTTTAGCCCAGGCAGGGGAGGTGCGTGTGAAGGGAGGGTGGGGTGTGGGCCTGGAGGCAGGGGTCGTGAATGGCCACCTGAGCGCCTTAATGGAGAGAGGCCCTGAAACCGTGGGGCGCTAAGCTCCCCTGCTGCTGGCTGAGTTAGGGCTCTCTGCCCCCAGCCTTCCAAGGACTCCGCAGCTGTCCACAGAAGGTCCCCAGTCATACTTCCCAGCTGGGGACCAGTCATCCCAGTGGGTTTAGCTGAGTTGCCACCCACCAGGATGGCCAGGGGAAGGGGAAAGGAAACTAATACTTGCTAACTGAAGCGACCCTATGTGCCCTCCGAGGTGGGCAGTGGAACTTCACAGGTGAGGACACTGAGTCTCAGACAGCTTGGTCATCCGCTCAAGTTCACAAAGCTAGTGAGCAGGTGGCTCAGGGACTAAAATCTCACAGCGTGGCTTGCCGGCTAGCCGGGTTCCACTCCCTGGGGTGTGAGGCAGTGCCAGCCTGGGCCCACCGCTCCCTCCACACTGCACCTCTGACCACAGGCTCCAGACCTGAAGCTTACTGTCTGTACACACAGGCAGGTGTGGGCATGTTCTGGGGGGCCAAAGGGTGCAGCTCCCAACACACAACCTTCATCAAGTGGCTGCCGCATCAGAGGCCTCGCCCCTGGGCCCTCCACCCCGCCCCCAAGAACTGATAAGCAGCCAGGGTGGGCGGGGAACGGTGAGATAAGTGAGGCCACTGGGCAGGGCCGGGCAGGGCCGTGGGACAGGCCTCCTCACGCAGGTGAGCCCCCAGTGTAGGGAGTGTGGCAGGAGGACAGCAGGGTGGCTCGTTCTGCCTCTGATACCTCCACAGACCAGGACTGGGCACTGGGGGCTGGACAGGAGACTGGGGGGGTGTGAGCAGGGAGCCTTAGCCCAGAGAGCCGTCAAGAAAGTAGGTCAAGTTTTTCTTGGCTTGTGGAGAAATTCCTGTTATAAATTTATAATGGCGTAGCCAGCCTGAAGGGGTGGAGGTGGGGGGAGAAGTAGGAGTGGGTGGGGATGCCCAGGGACGGGGCACTGGGGCCTGCTGTTCTCAGCCAGGGCGGTGAGGGTAGGGGGCCAGGGCAGTCGTCAGGCTGGGCTGGACAATAGAGGGCTATTTTCTGTTGCCTGTTTCCACTTCTGTCCGTGCCCAACAAGGCTTCCTTGGGTCTGTCTGCCTGTATCTGAATGTCTCTCTCTCTCTCTGAGTGTCTCCCCATCTCCCCCCGAGGCTGTGCCTCGGTGCTTGGCACACCCTGGCTGCGGTGCTGCCCCCGCCTGTCTCCTGCCCACCTGGCACGCTGCCACCACTTGTTTACAGAGGCTGGAAAAATCCACTCGCCAGCAGGAGGCCCAAGTGCCCCTGGGGAGGGGAGGAGACAGGCACAGGAGTGGGCATGCTGAGAGAGGGGCAGCCCCGGGGTGCAGTCCCCAGGGGCAGACGAGGAGGGCCAGGGTGTGTGTGAATGGGTGTTAGCAGCTGTGGGCCAGGCCAGACCCGGACGCCAGCAGCAGCCACAGGCCATGGGCCATTCCTGCCCCCAGCCATCGCTCTGGAGGACCCCCTCCTCCCTCATCCCTGCTACTGCCAGTTGCTACAGGGCACACCTGGGGCAGTGCCAACCTAAGCCACCATGTTTATTTTCCCTTCCCCCTCCCCAGGCCAGCCTTAACTCCAAATGTGCCTGGGCACTGCCAAGGGCTCGCACGTGCCCGTCGTGGGAGGGGAAGGCTCTCTCTCTGCCCCGTCTCTGGGCTGAGCTGGGTGGTGCCCTGGTGCCCGGTGGTGTAACCCAGGCTACACTGGGCCCCGGCAGTGAGCAGTGGAGAAAGGCACTGTCCTGACTGCTTAGGAGACCTTTGCCTGGTCCTCAGCAAGAAGTTGGAACCCCTGGGAATTCCTTGTCATCTCTCTAGGGACGCTGAGATGACACAGAGCAAGCCGAGGGCCAGCATTCGGGGAGGCACATACCATGTGAGCCTGTGTTAGCTGTGGGCAGAGAACGGTCAGCAGGGAAGGGGGCGTGGGGCAGGGATGCCCACCCTAAAGGGCAGCCTGTCACCCCTCCTCCTGGAGTCCTGCTCAGTTCCCCCAGCTCCCTCCCTCCTTGCACATCACCTGCAGAGGAGAGGCTCAGCCCCAAGGAGGCGGAGGGGGTGGAGCTATGGGGTTCTGAGCCTAGGTTGGACAGTCCTGGACAGAAGGACGGCAAGACCCACCTGTCAGCTGGCCTGGCCACCCACTCCTTCTTTGTCAGATAAGAGCTGCCGGGTGGCAGTGTGGGCAAGGTGCCCGTGGTGGGGGAAGCATTTCATTAAGCTTAAGTGCTTCTGCAATGGGGGGACAGAGACAAGCGCCCAATGCGGCATCCACAGGCACCATGCCAGGTTCCCACTGCCAGACTCTCCCACTCTGCAGTCCTGCAGACCCAAGGGGCTTTCCCAAAGGACTCCTGGCACTGCCGGACCCCTCTGCCCCCGGAACCTAGCCCCCAGTTCTAAACACACTGCTCTCCTGGGTGTCTGCTCTTGCCTTTGGCCCCACCTGTCTAGGGCCCCTAAACTTTGTCCTTAATGCTCCAAAGGAAGCCCAACCCTCCTCTTTGCCAACCACAGAGGGAAAGACACACTCATAGAGAGGGGGCCCAGAAAAGGGGAGAAAAACGGGAGGACAGGGGTAAAAGAGATTATGGGGGAAGAGGGGAAGAAAGATGAGGAGGGGTAAGAACAAAGAGCTGCGAAGGGATGGGGTAGAGCAGGGGATGCCCACGAAGTAGAAGGAAAGGAAGAAAGGCGGCAATGAGATGGGGAGCGGGGTGGGAGAGAGGGGTGAGGTAGAGCGAAGGACAGATAAGGGGAGGAGGAGAGAAAAATGGAGGAGGAGAGAAAATGGAGGGGGAGACAAAGAAAGAAAGGTAACAAAGAAAGATGGGTGGGGGGGGTTACTTCATGCCCTGCTTAAGTCCCACCCCACGGAGGCTGGGGGAGGGGGTGGTAGAACTGGTTTCCACGGTGACAGCTGGTTCTTGGTGGCCTGGCATGTGGGCTATTAATAGTGCTGTGGGTAGGTTCACACCTCCCTCTCCCCTTCCCCTTTGCCTACTGCTAGGATGGGGGGAGATACTACCCCCTCCAACTCCCAATGATCTGGCATTGATGCCCTGACCCCACACCGTGGGAGCCAAGAAGGGTGATGCTGAGGGGCCCCGGTGGCTCCTGTAGCCCAAACATACACACAAGCATGCACAGGCAAACACAGGCATCTGTGTGCAGACTGCGCCGGTGCCAGCGTGGGCTCCATGGACAGCCTCGAGCACCAGCAGCCCCTGGGCGTCTGGCGATGGTAGAGGCTGCGGCAGCAACACAAGCCCTACATGGAGGGGTAGATGTCCCCCAGGGCTGGGACCGCCTTTTCTCTTCCCAGATCCCCCCTGTTCTATTCTCAGGTGTGGACTGAGCGGGACTGCCCCACCCAACTCACTGTTATCCTAGTGCCAGGAAAGAGAGGAGTGAAGGCGGGAAGGAAGGTACTAGTTGGCAGGTGTGAGATGGCAGTGAAGTACACAGACACAGGCACCAGCTTGGCAAGAGGGAGGGAGGGTGGGAGGGAGGCAGCACTCCTTGGTCGGCCCTCTCTGGGCCCCCATGAGATGGGATTCTGGAGCTTAAGGACAGTGACCCTTGTGTCTGATCTCCAAGCCACTGCAGGACCCTGGAGGCTAGAGAATGGGAGATGGGGGTGGGGGATATCGGATCAACAAAGGATCCTCTCCCCCAAAAGAATAGAACAGGAAACTCCCCCCTGTAGGTCAGAGACAGAAGGACATAAACAGCAGCCTTGACTTGGGCCAGATGCCCAGTGTTAACAACAAAGACTGTGCTTCCCCCCCAACATAACCTCACCCACCTGCTGCTCTCCTCTCTCTCCTCCTACCCCAGGCCAGCTCCAGTCAGGCATCAAGGTGGTTGCCCAGGTCTAGAGGTCACCCCCATGCCCAGCTCCTTCCCTGCCAACCCCCAGAACTTCGTGTCCCCTGACCCAATTCCCCTGAGGAATGGAGGTGGGAAATCCAAGCAGCCAAGAGAGCAGAGCTAGGAGCACCCCCAACTGGGCATGGCACATTCTCCCCACCCTCCCCCCAGCAGCCAGGGGTAATTGGAGCTGGGTACTGGGGCAGCTGAAGGCTGGAGGCATGAATGTCACGGGGCCAAGGCGCTCACTGCAGATGGTATCTGGGCACAGGGCTTGGGGTCCTCTTTTCCCAACTCCCCTCTTCCAAGGAAAGAGAAAGAGGCCATAGAGAGGAATTGTCCCCAAGCCCTGGGGAGCACCGCCCAGGAAGGAAGGAAGGAAGGAAATGGTGGAAGGGAAAGGCAAGGATGTTCTTCTCCCAGGCACCCCAGGGAGGTGGAAGCTAGCCCCCACTGAGGGAGGGAGGGTGGGAGAGAGAGAGAGGAAGGAGGGAGGGAGAGAGGAAGGAGGGAGAGAGAGGGTAGAGGGAGGAGGAGAGCGAGGAAAAGAATGGGGAAAAATTAAGAAGTGCTCGTGCGCGCGCGCGCGCCTGCATGCGCGCGCACGCATGCAGTGGAGTCTCTGGCACACACACGGACACGTGCAGACACACACACTCACCCCGCATGCGCAGAACAGCGAGCTCCGCGTACCGTTGCACAGATATTCAGAGCCCTCAGCGGCCCACACATGCACAAAACACGCACACATGGATGCGCGCACAACACGCCCACTCACTGATGTGTACAAAAATGCTGATAGCCACCGAATCCTCCTCGCGTTCCCCTTTCCCCGCCCACGCGCCTGGGTAAAAGAGAAAATGAAACAGGCAACTAAGGCTCTTCGAGCCAAGAGCTCATCTCTCCCTTGCAAGAAGAGGAGGAGGAGGAAGAGGAGGTGGGTTGGGGGCTTGGTCCAGTCATGCTGCACGTTGCTACTTCTGGAGGGTGTGGCTGCGCTTTTGGCCCTAATCTTTAACTCCAGTCCCTGGTCCCCAGACTGAATGCTCACTCCCAAGGTGGGGGAGCAACAGTAGCATTTTCTGGGGACCACTAAGTTTCATCTCGCTACCCTTGTGTACCCAGAGAACTTCTGACCCCTCCCTCTAGGCTGCCTCATACAAGTGCATATAAAAGTGAGGTCCCCTTTGGAAGCCCTGCCTTAGCCTGCCAGGGAGGAGGGCAGCACCATGTGCCTGAAAACCATATGCTCTCTACCACACATGAGCCCCAGATGCCTCTGTGAGAGACTAACTGTCACTGGTTCCAGCAGCATGTGTATCTCCACCCCGGAGCATGCCAAGCCCTGGGAGGACAGGGGAATCCACAGGCGTTGCTTACCACGCCAGGATGGAACATGGATTGAACACAGGTGTCACGTCATGGTATGTTATTTACCCTCACTCTGAGTGAGGCAGGCGTCATTGTCCCCATATGATGAAAACTCAGGCCCAAAGTCAGCCACTGGTGAATGGCAACAACCCAGCCGCCTACTCCAAGTCAGTGCTCTGTCTGCTGTGACCACGCTTGCCTCTCCCCCAAGACCTACAAAAGCCCCCCAAGCACCTTTGCAGCCAGGAAAACTACAGTTGAGACTGACTCCCCAGTGGCTGACCACAGGGCATTCCCCCCGCCCCCATTGTCCTTGCTGCAGCTGGAAGGGGAGGGGCTAAATAAAAGGGATTTGCAGGAGAGAAGAATCTTATCACTGGATTCACAGAGGGAAAAGGCAGCCCAGGACACACCCTGGATCTCCAGGCGCCACGCCTACCACACTGATCCTTACTCAGTGCCACCACCCTTCACATGAATGCCCCCGCCGTGCAGAGGTGGGGAATCCGGTGTCTGTCGGCCAGGGTTGGGTCCTGGTTGACTGGTCAATGGTAGGTAGCTGGGTTGCTGGCTCCCCAGGAGAGAGGAAGGGTGCTATAGTCCACAAGTAAGAGGGGTTGGGGAGAGAAGCCTGCTTTCCTTGTTATTACCCATCCCTGTGCTCCCAGTGCTCAGACTTGTCCCAACAGAGATTCAGTGATGCCCAAACATTCATGCATGTGTCCCTGACTGGGGAGGTGTGTCCCAGGCTGAAATGCCAAGGGCTCCCTTTAAAAAGCAGGTACAAATTGAGGTTCAGAGGAGCTCCAGGTTGCAAAAACTTGTCAAGGAGAAAATGGTGACACAAAAGCTAAGGGGTCTAGAGATTAGGGACCCACAGTGCCCACCCCCCCCAACCCCATATCACTCTTGTTCCTGCAATGTCTAGGAGCTCCAGTTCTCCACCAAGCTTCTCCAAGAAATCCAGGGAACCCCAGACCCACAGGTTTCCTCATTGTAACAGCTAATAAATACACTGATTGTTATGCACCAGGCACTTTTTAAAGCATTTTATATAACCTAAATCCTCTGATCCTCAAAAGGCCAAATGGAGAATGTATAATCATTCCCATTTGACAGATAATGCAAGGGAGAGGCTAAATTCTTTGCCTAAGGTTAAACAAATAGCAAGTGGCATTGCTGTGATTCAAACCCAGGCAATCTAGCTCCAGAAAAAAGGTCATGCTCTTAAACATAACCTGCTAGAAGAATGATACCCTGGTCCTTCATCCAGTTATGTGCTCCCTGTGACCTAGCCTCCGTTTCCCCTTTTGTAGCAGCCCGTGGATTCTCTATAATACAATCACTACCCGTGCCTCTTCACTCGAACAGGCCATAGCTAGAGGGGAGCAAGGCAGGAACACTTGGTGTCCCCTGCTCAGATTCACTCTCTGGAAGAGTTGCCCATTCTGCCACCCTGGCCTGGAGACCGCACGCGTGGGAGAGGGCCTTGCTCAGCCCTGCACATAGTCTGGGCAGCTGTACCTCAGAAACAGTCCCTGAGGCTGGGCAAAGAGGACACAGCTGTTGGGCATCTCTGAGGTGGGTCTCAGCTGCCAGGGGTGTGGAGAATGGCCACTGCGGGTCCTGCCAACTCCTGACACTGCCCATGGGGGTGAGCCTCTCAGTGGTGAGTGTGGTGGGAAGCTCCTCACTGGCTTGGCTGGGGCTAGGTTGCTATGATGTGCACACCCAGGGCTTCCACCAATCTGGTGTCTCCTGGCTAAGCCTGCCAGCCTGAGAGGTCAGCATGGGTAGTAGGTGACCCCTTCCCTACCCCCCATCCCCAGCCCCCAAAACTCTCTGGCCTGCAGCTGCAGCATTAAGGAAGTGCAGGATGTCCTGAGCAGCCAGCTGAGCCCCCCACCCCCCACCCCAACCTCTCCATGACCCCAGAGGCAGGGCAGGCAGGGACTGGGGGGCGGGGTTTGAGTATTAACAACCGGAAAACTATGAAGAACATCACTGCCAGTTCCCAGCTCTGAGAAAGGAGGTTGTGGCAGAAACAGACAAGAACAGGGGTAGACAGACGGGGGTAGTGACAGGGTGAGAGTTAGAGTCTGGCAGAGAAACAAGGAGAGCGAATCAGACACAGCAAGACAGAGCAACAGAGAGACCGCGTTAGAGAGAAATTCCAAGTCAAAAATACACATCACTCACCCAGACACTCACCAGCATACAGCCTCCTAAGGAAGGCTTCCAAGTTTAGACAGGAGGGCAGAGGTGGAAAAAGGGGCCACACTCAGGGTGAGAGGCAGGAACTCAGCTGAGGGTGAGTGAACTGCCCCAGGAAAGGCTCAGACAAAGGCTCCCAGCAGGGGCAGATAGATTCCCCCCTCCCACTTGCTTTTAGGGTGGGATAGAGACCCTAGCACCCCCTTCCCCCAGCAGCCAGGATAATTCCAGCTGCTGGAAGTTACTGGACACTGCTTCAGGCCCATGACTCGGCCCTCTGGAACCCCCCTGCCCCTACTCTCTTTGCTCTAGTTTCTTTGGAAAAAAAAAAAAAAAAAGGCTGAGCCTTACCCTTAAGGAAGAAGACAGAAGGAAGCTTAAGGGAAAAAGTCCATGACTCTGTGTGCATCTAGGGGTGTGCCTGACTGCATAGCTAGAGTGTATGTGTGTCTGGGATTGTCTAGACACAGCTGTTGGTGTGGACCTGAGCCTTCTGCACCTGAGTCCCTGGGACTGTGTGCAAATGAGTGCACCTGTGCCTGGAGTTCCCACAGTCAATCAATTAACAAACAAGTATTTACAGAGCACTTCCTGTGCTAGGCTCTGGGTGGGATCCATAGCTCTCGGAGTGATTCTGTCAGGTCTCAAGCTCACCATCTAGCAGGGTGGGAGGACAAACCATAGAGACCTAGAACATTATCATGAATGCATGCCTTGCACCATTATGCAGGAGAGTCTTTTCATATGAACAAATTTAATTTTCTTGGGAGCAGGGGTTTTGTTGTATACAGAACCTCAGCGATCCACAGTCGGAGTCCAAGAAAATACTTGTTGCTAAGCTGTGTATACATGTGTTGATGTGTAACCACGTTTGCGTCTGACTGAGTGACAGTGACTGTCACCGAAGGCAGGTGATGATGCCTGTGTGACTGGGCTCATGTGAGCACGTGTGTGCCTGTGAGTGACAGGGTCTTTTGTAATGTACGGCTGTGTGCAATTGCCCTGCGTTCATGCAGGAGTGTGATAGTGACTTTTTCTATGTGATAGCAACTCCTCCTTGCCCCCCCCCCGTGTGTGACAGCATCTGCGTGTGACCCTGTTCATGGATATGTGCATGGGTCAGTCTCCTGTGGGTGTGTCCCACCCCTCTGAGCTCCCCGGTGCAGCAGCAGCCAGCCTCTTCCCTTGTCCCTGTGTGGGTGTGTCCAGCAGCTCCTGTCCTTGAGTCTGCCTGGGTGTCCCTGGCTGTGCATGTGGCTGTCTGTGTGGGCATATCTCGGTGTCTGCATGTCACATTTGCTTTCCCCCTCATCTTGGACAACAGCCCCTTTCGTTCCTTCCCCCTCCTGGGGCCAGAGCCATTATTGAAGAGTGGGTTCCCATCCCCCTGGCTTTCCTTCTGGGACCTCCACCCTGGAAACGGTGGCCTTTCCATTGCCCTATCATTCCCCCCTTCCCAGGCCTTTCTTTCACACCGGACAAGGGAGGGCCCCAGGCAGAGAAGGGGCACCAGAGACACGTTGCAAGGGGAGGGAAAAGGGGGGGGGGCACGCACAACACAGGTCCATTCCTCCTCCTCTTCCCCAACCGCCCTAGCTTGCAACTGTCCTAATCATCTAGGGACCCTCAAATACACTCCCCCCACCCCCAGCCGCGTTTTTGCAATTAGGAGTGTTGCAACCAGAGAGCCATGCTCAACTGGGGAGGCGGGTGAAGTTGGTGGGTTGGGGGGAGGACTTCCCTCTCCCCGGGCCCGTGCAAGCACACTCCCCACCCTACTCACACTGCCCTCCGCAGCTGGAGGCAGCTTTGCAAAGGCCACTCGGCCTCGGCCTCCGAGGCTAGGGGTGGGGGCTGGGGGGGGCAGGCCTCCAGCGCACCGTAAGTAAACAAACCGCGGCGCGGCGGGCGGGGGCGCTCGGGCGGCGGGCAGCGGGGCCGGGCCCGGGAATGCGCAGCAGACGGGCCGGACAGAGGCCAGGCGGGCCCTCGAGGGGGAGGCCTGGACGCCATCTCCGCTGGCAAACCTCGGGGCCCACCGACCTCCTAGCAACACCTCCCTTCCCAAGGGCGTAAGTTGCAAGCTCCCAGGCTGTGACAGGGTCACCGGGGCGGCGGGGCAGGCAGAGGCTTACGGCAGGTACCCCCGGGCGCCCCCAGACCGCCGGGGAGCTGGCCAGAGAGCCCCACGGCTTTGCATAATCAATCGCAAGATATTTGCATATTAATGCCCCGTCGCTCCCTTCTCCTTACCTCGGCGTGGTGTGCTGGACCGGGCTGGGCAGCGACGCGGGGTCTCAGCGCCCCGTGCGGGGGGCGTCCATGGGGGGCCGGTGGGGCCCGGGCCGCCCGCCTCCTGCGCCCGGGTGTGAGTGCGAGTGAGCGCGGGGGGGCGGGGGGCGAGTGTGGCGGCCCCGCGGCTCCTCCGGCAGAGGCGGCGGCCGCTCTTGGCTCCTCCCTTCCCCGCCCCACTCCGGCTGGGGCTCTCACTCGGCGCGCCCGGCCGGCTCGCGGCTGCTCCCTGCAGGCCGCCTCGCCGCCGCCGGCCCGTGGCCCCCGCTCCCCGCCGCGCCCCGGGACCTGGGCCAGCCAGCCACCCGGCCGCCCCTCGCCGCCCCCGCCCCCATCCCGCTCGGACTCGCCCTCCCCACTCCAGGCGTCTCCGGCAGGAGTGGAACTTGGTGACATATTTTGAAAAAAATGTCATTTAAAAAATAGTCTTTGCTTGCTGAAAGAATGGGAGGTTTGGGGGTTTGCATTGTGGGGATGGAAATGGGAGTATCGACGAGCCGCCTGCACCTTATTAAGTAGCAAGAAAGATTAAATACCAAACCCTTGGATGTTTAGAGTTTGTTTCTGCGTTCGGGTCTTTCTGTGCCAGTAACTCACTGTGTGACCTTGAGCAAATCACCCCCGCTCTCGGGGGCAGAGGTTCCTCAGCCTTAAAATGCGAGCGTTGGGCAGGTGACCTCTGAGGTCACTTTATGTTTTTGATCCTTTCGGAGTTTTATTTCCCATTATTTCCCTTCACCTTTCATTTCTAAGCTCCACTGCCTCCCCTTTCCAATGTCGCCCTCTTCCAATAGAGGCTCTTTCTATTCACTGTCACCAGCCATTTCCTCAACGATCTGGTCCCCTTGCTGAGCTGGGGAGGGGGCAAGGCTTGCCCTACCCCCTCAGCTCTCACCTTCGCAGAGGTGGTATTTCCACCTGTGTTTGTCCCCACCGGAATCCACATGGTACGAGGGCCAATCTAAGGCGGAAGGCAGGCTGCACAAAAATGGATCCCCTTCCCCACAGGAGAAGTCTCCACCATCTAGCCCCACATCCATGCACACACACCTGCATTCACGGACATAAAACCAACCCAGTGACGCCAGAGCCCCTTTCATCTCGGGATCTCCCAGCACCAGGCAGAGCTCTAATTACCCCAGCACCCCCTCTGGCCCCACCGGTTCCCCTGATGTCATTAGCCCAGTTTTACCAGCGGGGGCCACAGCCTTCCCACGGCTTTCAGGGCGGGGCACTGTCTCCACAGTCAGCTCTCGGAGGGGGGTGTGTGTGTGTGAAGGAGAGCTGTTCTGCTAATCACCCAGTTTACCCTGAAAAGAAAATCACTTGCTAACTGTGGGGTTCTGACCAACAGCCTGAGTTGGGCTGCCCTGGCTCATCTCAGTCTCAGCCACCTGCATCCTCAGCTCTGTTGCAGCCGTTTCTCTTACAGGGGGCACTGGGGTTTGCAGTGCATGGGGGGGGGAGAGGGTACCTGTCTTGGGACCCACTGGGGTCATGGGGAGGAGAAGGGCAGCTGGGCTGAAACCCAGGGGCTGCAGAGCAGAGAGATGGTGATGAGGGGTATGCAGGGGGTGGAGGGAGCCTGCAGTGTTCAGTAGAGGCAGCTGCAGTGGGGAATCGAGGCTGCAGTGTGCAGAGTCAGCATGCAGTAAGTGAACCTGTGGGTTGGGCCTGGGCTCAGAGTGGACATGCAACAGCTGCACTGTGGGGCAGGAGGCTGTATCGTGTAGAATCACGGCAGTGTTCAGCATGTGGCGCGCTCAGGGTGGCTGTCGGACATCGATGCCACCTCCTCAGTGATCAGGCTTGGCTGGAACTCTTAGGAGCAAGGTTGTGGTGTGCATTGGGCAGGGTGCATGCTCTACCCTGTATGGAAATGATCTCTTGGGACAGGGCTGCCCAAGGAGTTGGGAGAGAATCCCAAAGCATGGGACACATTTGTGAGGTGAGCTTGTTTACACTCTGCATCGATCAGGCAGAACCAGGAGGCAATGGAGATGTCTAGCAGTCATCTGGATCAGGGAAGGGTGACAGAATCAAGAGGGGAAGGTGGAAGTGCCATCGTTTTGTCTCCCCTCCATTCTGACTTCCTCATCATATCTCTCTGTGATGAAAGGACTTAAAGATATTGGGCGAGGAAGACTTTCTGAAATCCTAGACCCAGAGTTATAGGAAATGAAGTGCCTCTTGACCCACCTTTCCCCGCCCCCCGCCCCGTCACGGGCAGAATGGGGTACCTTGAACTCAAAGACGAGAGTTCACCATTCCTATTTTCTCCTTACCTCTCCCCCTTCCCTTGGCTCCCGAGATGGGCTGCTGACAGACCTGGGCAAGGTCGAAGTGAAGGGCACGCAGCCTCCAAAGCAGGCACATTGCCAGATGCCAGGATCTGGCCCAGGTCTGGGCTTATAGCCCCTGCCCTTGTGTTGTGTCACTGCCCTTTCCACCCCCCTCACCCTCCCTACCCCCAATTCTTGAAGCATCTAGCTTTTCTCAGAGTCATTTCATCCCCAGCTCCTGTTCTCTACTTGCCATGAAACCCCACCCAGCTGTCTCTTACCATCCCCCACCTCTGCTTCAGGGCTGAGCCTGGGGGAGAGCAGGAGGGTGGGGCACAAGTGGTGAAGGATAGAGACCCTCCAAGGGGGATACGCCTGACACCCCCCTCCCTCTTAGATTTTGGTTGCCATGGAGGCAGCAAGAACAGCCTGTTCTCTGGGCTCCCATGGCAGCAGCTGTGCCCAGGTCCCTCCCTCTTTTCCTTCTTGCTTCCCTCCCTCCCAGGCTGTTGCTAGGAAGCACCCCAAGATTTCTTGAGGGTCCCACCCCTAGAAACCAGGGATCCAGATCTCTTTCTGAAGAGCTTCCCCTAAAAGCTGTGAAGCCAAGACCCCATACAACATCCTCCTTCCCAGCTAAGAAGCCCCAGGCTATTTGGGGGGACAGGGTATAGGCCCTCTACCATCCTGCCCTGGGAAGAGCTCTGTGGCTTGGGCCTCAGCTATTCCCCTCCCCCACCTCATCCTAACCTCTTAGGTGGTGGCAGTAAGTGATTAGGTGTCCAGCAGAGGACCTCCCCCCGACCCCCGCCCTGCGACACTACAGATGCAGCCTCACTTTGGGGAGTTCTAGAAAGATCACCAGCTAAAAGAACCTAAAATTCAGGTGTTTCTTCCCCCTTAATGATCTTTCAATTAAAAAGAGATGGTGGACATAAAGGAAAGAAAGTGGGGACGGTTTCTGGGAACTGGAGATCAAGCAGCAGAGGTGAGAGACAGGGAAATTAGCAAACAACTGCACTGCTGAAAGTGAAGTGGGCGCTTAATGCCCCCCTATCAATCACCTCTGTCCCATCAGGTGCCCTGGTTATGGGTCACAAACACAGGCACCAGGGAAGGGACTCAGGCCAGGCTGAGCCCTGCTTTTGACAGCTCAGACAAGCAGTGAAAAGGAAGCTTATGCCTTCTCCAGGTTGTCTTTCAGGGTTTCTCTTGCTTTTTATTCATTCATTTGATACATTTTTTAAAAATTATTTTGAGCATTTCGCATGTGCCAGGTAATGGATCCCCTAAAGTTCCCAGCTTCTGGTTTCACTCCCAGTCAGCCCTCCTCCTGCCTTTGCCAGGAGAGAGAAGAGGAGGGGTGGGGACAGCTTCCTTCACCACTGAGTCTGGGTCTTTACCATACCGCAGCCCTCCCCCTTCAGCTAAAGGCTGGTGTGAGGCCAAGGGAGTAGAATGGCTCTTAGGACCTGGATGGAGGGGTGGTGCAAAGGAATGGAAGGCTGGCCCTCGCCCGGCCACTGCCCAGGCCTGGGGTCACCATGCCTCTCTCCTCTGCTCTGAGAGGGAAGGCCTCCTCCAGGGTGTGAGAAAGGAAATTACTCGGAGGATGCTTCAGATTCTTGCTTTTTACTGTTTCGGTTGGTCTTTTTCTGGACTTCCTGGGGGTCAATGGGAAGATAGAGACATAGAACTTGAGGGGGGGTCCAGTACCTAGCTGCCCTGAGCTAGGCCCACCATGTTGGTCTCTCTCCCATGCCCTCCACCCAGACAGATAGAAAGCAGGGATTTTGAGGCCGGTACTAGTGGAGGCAGGGAACTGGTTTGGAGCCAGCGGTATTGGTATGTGGGAAGGACTTTCTTTCCCCATCTACCTGCTGCCAATTAACCCCTCATAGTGGGGGTACCGAGGCCAGCTTCCAAAAGAAAATATTCCATTAGGGGAGGGGAATGACTCAGTTTCCCTGTGTCTTCTATGCTTACCAAGTATTCCAGTATTTCTGAGCCTAGACCCTTATCCCTTTTTCTTGTGCTTCTTTCTAGCTCAGATAAGGAACGCCACTGTCCCCTCGGTGACTCCAAGCCTTGTTCCTCACAGCTTCCTACCCTACCCTGAGCCCTCATTCTGGCCCAGCTCCTTTTCTGCCGCTACTCCAGTGCCGCCATGCCACTTTGCCTGGCTGGCTTCTGCCTGCCCCTCTCCTCTCCAGCCAGACCCCGTCCGTCCCCGGCCAGACCGCCAGCAGAGGAAGAGGTGGGGGTTTAGGCCTGGGAGCGCCGAGGTGGGAGCTCAGCCTCCATCAGGGTGAAGAAACAGACAGCAAAAGAAAGTGGAGTAAGAGGAGGTTTTGAGAGGGACTGTGTGAGGAGAGGGTTTCCCTTGTACAGCCAAAGGGGATGTCAGCGCCCCTTCGCTCACACGAGGGAGGATTATCATGGAGTCCCTTGATTATCCTTGTGGTGGGGAAGCAAGAGAGCTGGTGGGTCCTAGGAAACTATTGTGAGGTGGAGAGAAGAGGAGATGTATGGGATGGCTCTCTCTGATATTCACAGACTAGGAGTCACAACAAAGTAGAGAAGCTGAAGGAGTCCCAGACTGAAGGAGTCCAGTCCTTGGGGAAACCCTGTCAAGCCTAGAGAAAGGGCTGCTGGTGAGAGGTAGGGGGACAGGGGAGGCGGATGGCCCGACTACAAAAGCCACCTTGCTACTGTGAAGTGGGAAGGGGTGCCCCCACCCCAGATCTGCCAGCCTTCCTGCCAGAGTGAGGTGGTTTGAGCTGAGACTGTCTTCAGGGCCCAAATATCCCCCACTTCCACGTGGACTAGACCCAACACTCACTAGCTCAGTCAGGAGCAGTCACAAAGTGGACAGCTTCTCGCCCAGAGGGGCGGTGTAGGCTCTGAGGGATGGAAAAGGAGCTGCCGAATCCAGAAATGGCTCAAGGTGGGGGGCCTCTGGCTGCAGTAACAGGAAAGGAATGGGAGGAGGGGAGCAGGCTGCTGAGGTTGAGTGAGGGGCCCGGGAGAGAAAGGGATGCCAGGTGCGTGAGAGACTGCAGAGCATCGGGGTTTGTGGCCATGTCGTGGGGCGGGGGCAGGCGGGAGGGGGGCTTGGGGGAGGCTGGAGGTTAAGTGTGAGGAGTCTGGGTTCTCCCTCCTTCCTGCTTTGGAAGCTTTGGCTACACATATTTGGCAGCTGTTTTGTGTAAACACCGTTCCCCAGGGGTACCCCTTGGGCAGGCACAAAAGGGAGCAGAATGGAGGGGATGTGGATGGTGCATTTGGGAGGGAGAATCTGGGCGATAAGCAGGGATGCCCTTAAAGGGACGTGATCTGGCCTTCCTCCAGCTGCACTCTCCCCCGCCGAACAGGAGTCCTTGTCTCCCTGTTTAGACTACGTTCCAGAGACCCAGGATCCGGTTATTTCTTGTCCTGCAGGCCACAAATGTGCTTCCCAAGCCTGAGTGGGCTGCTCTCCCTGATTCATTTCCCTGGGGACTGATTTTGCCACTGAAAGGGGGATCAAAGAGTGGTTGTTGGGGAAAGTGGAGCTTGGACTCCTGGACTAGGATATCAAGCGCCTCAGGGGATGGGACGGGGAGCTGAAAATAGGACGCTACCTGGGGCCTCCCTGTTTACTCTCGTCCCTGGTTGTAAATGTTTGGGACAACCTGTCCACAGGACGGGGTGAGGTTGAGAGCTGAGTATAGGGAGACTCAGACATTGGCTCAGAAGGGGTTAGCATTTGCTTGTGGGCTTCTGACTGAGGGGGAAAAACGGGCCGATGCCCGAAGCCATGGACATAATTATTTACAATATGGTTCCATAAGATAAGCGAGACATCACATTGTTTTTAATAACTTTTTTTAAAGAGAATACTTTTAGATATACAGGAAAAAATTTGAAGATAGTAGAGGGCCCCTACTACCCCAAATCCAATTTTCCCTGTTGTTAACATGTTACATTAGTATTAGTACATTGTTACAATTATAATTGTTACAATTGAACCAATGTTGATACACTGTTATTTACTAAAGTCCATGCCTTACTCGATTTTTTAGTTTTCCCCTCATGTGCTTTTTCTGTTCCAGGATCACATCCAGGATACAGAGTTACCTTCAGTCATCATGTCCCTTAAGACCCTCTTGGCTACGACAGTTTCTCGGATTATTTTTTTATTTTCGATAACCGTAACCTCCGTTTCCTCCTCACTTGCCTCCTGCGTCTCCCAGCATTCAGGCAGTCTGCAAGGCCAGATTTTGGGAGGACCGCCAGATTTGTGGGTGAAGCGGTGATGTGTGTGTGTAACTGACGAAGCCTCACTGTCGCCTCAGGAACACAGGTATGGAAATGAGAAGAACCCTGGTAGACCCAGAGGTTTAGGAAATAATTTGTTTTTAAAAGAAAAAGGCTAGTAAAGATGAAACGCCTTGCTAAACGAACGCCATCCCCTCGCTGCGCCTAATTATTTAGCGGGTAATGAAGGAGTGCGCGAATAGGATTCAAACGACCGGCGGCAGTGACGTCATTGGGCGACGCCCGGCCGCGAGCGGATTTACCAGAGCCCTCCCCGCCCACCCCCCAGAGTCCCTCGATACCTCACCTCCTACAAAGTCCTTCCTGAAGGAGAGAAACAATGTGGGCTGACTGCTCATCTTCCTCGCTAGCTCAGTCCGAAGAACTACGATTCCCAGAAGACATCGTGGCGTGACCTGTCTCTTGCTGCATTGGCTCCTGTACATTACTCCCAGCCAATAGAAAAGTAGCTCTTTGATAAGTGCCAAAATGGCGACACCTAGGACCTAGGAGTAAATTGTCCGGTAGGCTTAATTTGGGGAGCTGGTGGATGAAAGAGAGGGAATTATAGTTTCACGGTTGGGGAAGTTGGAGGAAGTGGCGGGGCGGGAGCACCTAGATTTGGGGTGGTGGTGCCTAAGGGACGGAGCCTGAGCTAAGGGAGGAATTAGGCAACCAGAACTGGCTTAACCCTTTGCTGTCCTCTTTACTCGCATTAAGCCCTTTTGGCAACCTTTTCTTTCGTGCTCTGGTTTAAGAAAGGATGGTTCAGGAGGGAAGAACCTAACTGGATCCTCACCACCCGCCTTCCCTTTTTTTCCTTTTCAGTTCTAACGTCTCTTAAATCTCCCTCTATCTTCTCCTCCATTCTATTTAACTCTGTCCTTCCCTTGTTCTTTTCTTAGTATCTCCTCTTCCCCTTCTCATCCTCGATTTTTCCCACCTCACAGTTGACCACCACCGGCCCCGCCGCCTCAGACTGAAATCATGAAGGTGGTGAACTTGAAGCAAGCCATTTTGCAAGCCTGGAAGGAGCGATGGAGTGACTACCAGTGGGCAGTCAACATGAAGAGATTCTTTCCGAAAGGAGCCACCTGGGACATTCTCAACCTAGCAGGTCTCAAGTGAAGTAGGAAGGAAGGATGAGAGAGCTAACCCCAGAAAAGTTGTAACCACACAGTCTTACTTTGTTATTCCCCTTGCAGAAGCACTACTGGAGCAGGCCATGATTGGACCTTCCCCCAATCCGCTCATCCTGTCCTACCTGAAGTATGCCATTAGTTCCCAGGTAAACTGCCCTATCGCAGAGAGTGAGGGTTTGAAGGTCAGAGACCTGGAGTACAGCTGTCAGCTCACACTGTCTAGGTGAATTTGTTTGAACACATCACTTCCCTGAGCCTCAGTTTTCTCATGAAAAGAATAGTATTTCATAACTTACCTGGCTGGGGAGATACCGTGATCACAAAGGTGGTTTTCCCAGGGCGAGGCTCACCCACTGTACTCCGGATGTGCTGACCCCTGTGATTTCTCCAAATGTGGGACACTTGACTGCATAATTTGTGATAGTAGGGGACTGCGTTTGCGTTCTCCCCTTGGCGGTGGGGGAATACTTCATTGGTTGTAATGAGTATTACATTACCTTGTTCTACAATAAATATTTATGAGTGTTTGTATGTGCCAGACAGTGCTGTAGGCCATGGGGGTATGGCTGTGAACGAGATCTGATCCCAGTACCCAAAGTATTTAGCGGGTAATGGAGATTAAATAAGCAGTGGGGCACAGGGTAGGCTTATGTTATATGCTAGGGCAGAGTAATATGGGGCTACATGAGAGGGGCACCTAATCCATTCTGCACAATCAGGATGGGAGGAAGTGATGTTTAAACCAAGGCATGAATGTTGAGTAGGGGTTAGCCGGGCAGACTGATGAGAGTGTACAAAGTAGAGAGAAAAGCATATGCAGAGGCTAGGAAACAAGGATCACATGGGGTTGGTTAGGAGCAGAAAAAAAATTTGGTATGGCAAGAGCAGCAGTTGTCATCTCAGGACCTTTTTTTTTAGAGATTTTATTTATTTATTTTTAGAGATAGAGGAAAGGAGAGAGAAAGAGAGGGAGAGAAACATCGAATGGTTGCCTCTCACATGCCCCTCACGGGGGGCCTGGCCTGCAACCTAGTCATGGGCCCTGACCGGGAATCAAACCTGCAACTTTCAGGTTTGCATCCAGTGCTCAATCCCCTGAGCCTCACCAGCCAGGGCATGGACCTTTCATACTCTTAAAAATTACTGAGACTTCCATAGAACTTTCATTTATATATGATATCGATTCATATTTACCATTTTGGAATGATAGAATAAATTTAAAAGTATTTATGTATTTAAAATTAACAAAAAATAAACCTATTACATGTTAATATACATAGAAGTTTAATGAGAAATAACCATATTTTCCAGAACAAAAAAAAAGTAGTGAGGAAACTGGCATTGTTTTGTATTTTTGCAAATTAGTGTCTGACTAAATAAAAGACAGCTGCATTCTATCTGCTTCTGCATTCAGTTGTTGCAATAGGCTGTTTTGTTTGAAGTATATAAGGAAAATCTGGCCACACACATCAGATACTTAGTTTGAAAAGGAAGGAGTATTTTTAATTAGCTTTTCAAATAACTGTGGATATTTTTCTTTGATACTGCACTAAAATTTAACAGGCGATGTGAAACCACATCAGTGGACTTTTTACATTATTACCATTGGTCTCTTTCTTGCACTTTAAATAGATTTTTTTAACCATGCCTGATCTCATAATACCATGAATTGGTCATTTCGAAAATACGCATTACTGAGTTATACTGTTTTAAGTGGAAGAATACTGTGATAAGACATATATATTTAACATGCAATAAAATACACAGATCTTAAGATTAATTCAGTGAGTTTTAGCAATTGTATAGACCCATGTCACTCTATCTAAAATAAGATACAGAACATTTCCAGTCTCCCAGAAAGTTCCCTTGTGTCCCTTTCTAGTCCATCCTCCCAAAACCACTTAGTGTTTTCTATCACCATAGATTAATTTTTGGATTTTATAAAAATGGAGTTACAGAATTTATACTCTGTATACTCTCTCTTATTTCATGTAAATGTTTTTAAGCTTTATCTATATTGTGTATGTTCAGTAGTTCATTCCTCTTTTAAATTGCTGACCCTCAGTTGGCACCGAGTTCTTGTGCTTCCTCTTGCCTCTTAGCATCGTGCCTGCTTTCCATATTAGCACGTATTTACTACCTTATTCTTTTCCACTGCTGCATAGTGTTCCATATGTACTGTAATGTGGTTGTTTTTTAAATTTTTTATTGCTGTAATCAATATTTCACTGAATATCCTTATACTTATTTCTCTGCATCTCTGGGAGTATTTTCCTAGGTTAGATACCTAGAAACGGAATTGCTGGTTTGAAGAGTACCCACATATTACACTGTAGATTCTGCAAATTGCCTTCTAAAAAGAATTGCCTCAATTTACACTCCCCTCCATAGTGTTTGACAGTATTTCTACACACCTTTGCCAATGCTGGATAGGATCCATGCTTTTTTGCAGAAAAGCAAAAAATAATACCACGTTATATTATGCATTTCCATGGCTGATGTTGAGCATATTTTTCTATGCATATCTTCTTTGAATTACTTATGTATACCATTTACCCATTTCTCTATTATCTTATTTTTTTGTAACAGCTTCATTGAGACATAAATCACGTACTATATATACACAGTTTACCATTTAAGATATAGAACTCACTGGTGTTTAGAATATTCAGAGTTGTACAACCATCACCACAATCAGTTTGAAACATTTTCATCACTCCAAGAAGAATTCTTACTGATTTTTAAGTGTCTTTTAATACACCCTATCTTGTAATTCTTATCTGTTATCTATATATTTTAAATTTTCTATCACATTTTTTATCTTTGTGATTTTTATTTTCTTGGCATGCAGAAATTTTTAATGTTTTTGTTGCAAGATTTAATCACTTTTTTCCCTCTGTGGCTTTTGTCTTACATTAGGAGTTACCTGTTCCAAGGATCAAAATATATTCTCTAATTTCTGCCAGCATTTCACTTTTATTTTTTATTTAATTTTTGTTTTTTCTTTTTTAAAATATATTTTATTGATTATGCTGTTACAGTTGACCCAATTTTCCCTCTTTGTCCCCCTCCACCTGGTACCCCCTGTCCCCTCCAGCAAAACCCCTCTTAGTAAACCCCTCTTAGTTCATGTCCATGGGTCATGCATGTAAGCTCTTTGGCTACTCCATTTCCTATACTGTTTTTAACATCCCCCTGTCTATTTTGTACCTACCAATTTATACTTCTTAATCCCTGCACCTTTTCCCCAATTTTCCCCATCCCCTTCCCTCCTCCCTCCCAACTGATAAACCTCCAAATGATCTCCTTATCTATGATTCTCCCTTATCTGTGATTCTGTTTCTGTTCTGCTTGTTTGCTTAGTGTGTTTTTTTTTTTAGATTGTGGATAGTTGTGAATTTATTGCCATTTAATGTTCATAGCTTTGATCTGCTTTTTCTTTAAGATTTTATTTATATTTTTAGAGAGAGAGGAAGGGAGGGAGAAAGAGAGGGAGAGAAACGTGACATGTTAGAGAGACGTCGACAGGTTGCCTCTCTCACACCCCCAACTGGGGACCTGGCCTGCAACCCAGGCATGTGCCCTGACTGGGAACCAAACTGGCAACCTTTCAGTTCGCAGGCCAGCACTCAATCCACTGAGCCACACCAGCCAGGGATACTTTCTCTTAAATAGTTCCCTTTAACATTTCATGTAATAATGGCTTGGTGATAATGAACTTCTTTAGCTTTACCTTATCTTGGAAGCACTTTATCTGTCCTTCATGCCCTTCAATTCTAAATGATACATTTGCTGGATAGAGTAATCTAAATTGTAGGTGTTTGATTTTCATCACTTTGAATACTTGCTAGTCCCTCCTAGCCTGCAGCATTTCTTTTGAGAAGTCAGCTGACAGTCTTATGGGGATTCCTTTGTAGGTAATAATCTGCTTTTCTCTTGCTGCTTTTAAGGTTCTCTCTTTATCTTTAACCTTTGGTATTTTAATTATGGTGTATCTTGGTGTGGTCCTCTTTGGGTCCATCTTGTTTGGGACTCTGTGCTTGTTGGACTTGAATGTCTATTTTCTTCACCAAATGAAGGAAGTTTTCTTTCATTATTTTTTCAAATAAGTTTTAAATTTCTTGTTCTTTCTCCTCTTCTTCTTCTGGCACCTCTATGATTTCGAATGTTGGTATGTTTGAAGATATCCCAGAGGCTCCTTAGCTATCATTTTTTTGGATTCTTTTTTCTTCTTGCTGTTCTGATTGAACATCTTTTTCTTCCTTGTGTTGTAAAATCACTGATCTGATTCTCGGCTTTATCCACTCCATTGCTGGTTCCCTGTAAATTTTTCTTTATTTCACTTAGTGTAATTTTAATTTCTTCCTGGGTTGTTTTTATGTTGTTGAAGTACCCAGTGAGTTCCTTGAGCATCCTAATAACCAGTGTTTTGAACTTTGCATCTGATAGATTGCTTATTTCCATTTTGTTTGGTTTTTTTTTTTTTCCTGGAGTTTTGTTCTGTTATTTCATTTGGGCCATATTTCTTTGTCTCCTCATTTTGGCAGCCTCCTTGTGTTTGTTTCTGTTTTATTAGGTAGAGCCGCTTTGACTCCATGTGTTAGTAGCATGGCCCGTCTGGATGAATGTGACTACGTTAATTCCTCGATGATCAGACTTGGTTATACAGCACAATTTTTTGATGATTCTGGGTGATACTTGTTTTGTAGCCTAGTTGTAATTTTTGCTGTGTTTGTGCAAGGAGGTAAGGAGGCTATGCCTCCATCTTGGCTGGAAGTCAAGCTCACTTTTATTTTTAAGATTTCTTTTGTCTAATACATTTAGAATTTATTGTAGCATGAAGGGGAGATCCAAATTTATGTATTTTTCCAAACAGGTGCACGGTTGGCTCAACTGCCTTTATCGAATAGGCCATTTTTGGTCATATTTTAAATTCTCCTATAGACAAGACTCCATTTCTTGGCATTCTAGTATATTTCATTGATAGCTTTGTTTTTTCTTGTATCACTACTTTACTTTTTTAGTTACTACACCTTTATGGTATGTTTGGTAAGGTAAGTCTTCCTGTAGTTTTATTTTTCAAAAATTTCTTGACTGTTTTTAGGCATTTTCATTTCCATACAAATTTTAGAATCAACTTACTGAATTCCTTTTAAAGTTCTATTATATTTTTATTGGGATTTCTTTGTGTGGGTTTGGGAATTTATGGATCAACTTTAGTTCATTTCTTTATTTTTTAAAAGAGTTTATTTATATAATTTTAGAGAGAAGTCAGGGAAAAAGAGAGGCTGAGAAACATCACTGTGTGAGAGAAACAGATCAGCCGCCTCTCACACGCCCCCATCTAGGGACCTGGCCTGTAACCCAGGCAGGGGCCCTGCCGAGGAATCAAACGGGAGACGCCCAATCCACCTCCCAATCCACGGAGCCACACCAGTCAGGGCCGTGGATTAACTTCAGAAAAATCACTCCGGTTGTAGTTTGAGGGATGAGTTGGAGGGGAGTAAGGCAGAAGGGAAGGAGACCATTTAGTCTGGCATATTTTTTTTTTTCTGTAAAGGACCAGATAGTAAATACTTTTTGTTTTGCAGACCATACGGGCCTGTTGCCACCATTCTGCCATTATAGCTTGAAAGCAGATATAGATAACATGTAAACAAGTGGACATGCCTATGTCCTGATAAAACTTTATTTACAATAAAAATGTGATAAGCCAGATTTGGCTTGCAAGCCGTAGTTTCCCAACCCCTGATTTAGGCTAATGGCAGTGATTCAGGTCAAAGATGATACTAACGTAAACTTGGGAATTGGCAGCAGACAAAAAAAAAAATGAATTCAAGAAGAGTTCAGGACGTGGCATTGAGAGGACTGGTGATTTCACTGGATGAGAGGCACAGGAGAGAGGGAGAAAAACAAGCTAGTGTCCAGGTTTCTGGTTTGGAGGACCGGGTGACTGATGGGACCGTAAGAAAACAGTGGGAGCAGAGTAGGACGGTTGTTAGGGTCGGCAGGCAGGTGAGGGTGGAGACGGCGTGCTTGATTAGGCCTTGTTATATTTAAGGCATCGCTGTGTGCTATCAAAGAAGATACTCGGCAGGTGAACATGCATGTCTGGAACTCGGAAGTGAGGCTGAGACCAGAGCTATTGATACAGGAGTCATCATCTGCAGACGGAAATTGAAACTCTGGGCCTGGGCGAGATTGCCCAGAGGGTGTGGAGAGGGAACGCGGAAGGGAGTGACCCGAGCCAAATTCCTGAGGAACACATGCAGGAAAAGAAGCCCTTACAGGAGTCTGGAAGGAAGGGGTCAGCAAGGAGAGAAGAAAAGCAAAGCAAAGCACGAGAGGGTGGTATGAAGAAAAGCCCTGGGAAGAAGGAGAGGACTGAAGAATGAGGCGGCGTTTCCCGGTGTTAGATGCTGCCGGGAGGTCAGTAAGATCAGAACTGAGAACTGTCCACTGGGTTTAACAGGCGTTTGCTGATGAGCTTAATGAGCAGGTTCAAGCAGTGGGAAGGACAGAAGTGACTGCGGTGGGTTGAATTACCACCAGGAGGTGGGGAACTTATGCCTGTGGAGAGCAGGAGAGAGGGTGATGGTTGATTGGAAATGCGGGGTCTGCGGGAAGTTCCTTTAAAAATAGAAGAATCTTGAGATATATAAACTCTGATGGGAAAAGCAAGAAGGAGAAAGAGGCTAAAGGAACAGTCAGAGAAATAAACAAATGTGAAAGACTTTCATGACTTACAAAGTGCTATGCAAAATTAGTAATTTATTTTTCCTTCAGAGTCAAGAGGCTCTTTGGTCCAGTGCTGTGCTCGTAGAGGGCACTTAGGAGCAGTCGGGTGTTGAATATGAAGGGCGGAGGAGATTGGAGCGCAGCTGCGGGGTCAGCCTGGGCTAGCCAGGTGTGTAGTGGACCAGAGAGATGGTCCCGGCCTCGGGCTGGTGGTAGTTTAGAGCTCCTGCGTTGATGGATATATTAAGATTGGAATAGGTTAAATCCTGCTGTGAAAAATGGTTCGCTGCATGGAAAGTATTTTTAGGTCTCTAGAGTAGAAGTGCTTTATTGATAGTGTTAGCAAAAATTTACTGAACAGAATTCTTAACTTGGATACCATGCAAAGGTATTATAACGAATGACATCCCTCAAAACACACAGAATTGGGGGTTTTTCTGGTAGTTTGGGGTCCGTTTCTAGTGGGAACATCCAGCTCCCCCTTCAGGTTGGTATCCAAAAAGGTTCAGTTCTCTGCCAAGCTCTTGCTATGGGGACATCAGTTATAAATAAACAAACACTCGCCTGGAACGTTGTGGTCATCTTGCCCAGGCAGGCTCCCAGCTTTCTGATCGCTGTCAGACACTAGCATTGGCTTTGCAGTACATCCTGCTGAGAGTGGCGCCAAACACTAATTGTGTATTTAAGTCTTCTGTGTGTTTTGCACCTGTTTGTCTAAGAATATTAAATATGTCTGAACAGAGAGCAGTCTGTTCACATGAGGGAGAAATTAGACATGGAAGGCATTGCCATGCATGTGAAATTCGCCATACTGAGGTCATTGAGGCTGACTGAGCTTTCTTCTTAAATCTTTGGAAATTTTTATTTTTCTAGTGAAGACAACCCAAGAGGCAGGTAATGAATTATCTTGACAGCTTCTCTCATTGTATTCTGCTTTTTTATTTGGTGTATTTTGTCACTGATTTTAAGTGTATGATTGTGACTGGGTTTTTTGGGAGGGTTTTGTTAGATTTTTTTAAATTTATTTTTTAGTGAGAGGGGAACAGAGAAAGAAAGAGAGCGAGCGAAACATCGGAGTGTGAGAGAAACATCTATCAGTTGCTTCTTCTATGCCCCCAACTGAGCACCTGGCCCACAACCTAGACATGTGCCCTGACTGGTAATTGATCTGGCGACCTTTCGGTTTGCAGGATTACGTCCAATCCACTGAGTCACACTGGTCAGGGCTATGACTGTTTTCTATAGCGTTACTCATATTCTATCAGCATGCTATAATTATAATTTTTAAAATATGACAACTTAAAAGACTTTCTGAAGAGTTTAATTTTATTCAGGACAAATTATTTCTTTTGAACTATACCTCTAATCTTATGGAGATAAATAGGTTTTACTAATAGAAATTTGTTTTAAGGTAATTTTTTTTTTCTAGAATGTTAGTTATTAGAATTCATCAGTCCAAAGCAATAAAAGTTTACAGAGGACCTACCACCATCTGTTAGGCCCCAGGCTAGGTTCTAGAAAAACAGACATAAATTTATCATTATTTCTGTTCTTAGGAATCTCAGTCTTCAGGTGGAATTTCCCAAAATGTATTTTGGAAATATTAGTTAAATGAGATTCCTTGGTCAAATGAGTTTTAAAATTATTGCTTGCTTCATTTCTAGTCATCTGAGAAATTCTCATCTTATACTAGAATATTGTGGTTCAGAGAGATCCTATAGTAAAGAAAGAAAGCTCTTTACTGAAAGAACCCCTACTTTAAAGAAAGCTCTTTATATATGTTTAATCCAAGATTTCTCAAATTCATACCACACAGAAGGTGTGTATATGTGTAAAATTTCTGAACATCTTCAGGAACCTTTGGGACAGCGTCACCCAGTAGAACTTTCTACAGTGATAGAAATATTCTGTATCTGCTGTCTATTATAGTAGCCTTTAGCCACATGTGGCCATTGAGTGCTTGCAATGTGGCTAGTATGACTAAGGAACTGAATTTTAAATTTTGTTTAACTTTAAAAAACCAGATTCAACTAGTCGTGTTTCTATTGCACAGTGCAGCTTTGGAAGATACTTTGGGAAATGCTGACCTAAGGGTGTGCTATTCATTCTATAAACATTATCAACATGTTCATTGGTCACTGAGTAAAAGTCTCGTTGTCCTCAAGGAGCGCCTAGCTTGGTGGGGGCAGCAGGTGCCCGCTCTGCCGTGATGGACAGAGGGGGTTCTTGGAGCACAGAGGAGGGAGTTCAGCGTTGGGTGGGAGGTTGAGGCTGATCAGAGAAGGTGTCCTGAGATAGTCCTGGAGCGTAACCCCAAGGAGACTGAGTAAGAGTGTGCGTAATGAAAATCACTACCTATTTCAAGGTGCAGTTACCACCTAGTCCCTGCAGGGACTGTGTGCTTGTCTCCAGTTCTTGTCCAAATGATGTCACAGTGTGTGGGAGTAAAGGAGCATAGCCCAGCTCTTGTCCAGCCCGCAGGCAGTCAGTCAAACCTTGCGTGTAGTGGATAGCGAAGCACGGCCCCTTTGAATACCCTCAAATCTCCTAAAGGGACTTAGGCTTACGATGTCGTTTGCGGTGAGCTGATGGGAGGAGGACCGGTGACCATGCCTCTCTTTGAGTACTGTGCTAGAAGGCGAGTGCCAGGCACTCTGGGGTACCGCCTCGCTTTGAATAGGCTGAGGGAGGCGTCTTGAAGCAGTTGAGGTTTTAGGAGAGCCGCAGTGACTTTAAGTATCAGCGTTGCTTCCTCTCAACTGTGGGACACCGGTTGTCTGAACTTTATCTTTTTTCTTTTCCTCCAGATGGTGTCCTACTCCTCTGTCCTCACAGCTATCAGTAAGGTATGACCATAGCCACTCAAACTAGGTGGGGGGTAGAGGGACAGGGATATGGCAGTGACAGAAGGGGCCCCTCCTCCTTGACTGCTCTGATCACGTGACCACTGAGGCTGGCATCGCTGCCTTCCACCGGCAGGAGGGGCATCCTGGGAAGTGGGGGCTGGCAGTTGGGAGCCAATTTCCAAGGTTGAAAGGATGCCCAGTCTGAAACCTGAGGCGGGAGGAAAGAGGAGCAGGAATCCTGAGCGTCCCATCTGCCTCATGTGTGAGACCCGGGGTTGACTGGGACATTCTGTAGCATCACCACTGTTCTTTCCACAGTTTGATGACTTCTCCCGGGACCTGTGTGTCCAGGCTTTGCTAGATATCATGGACATGTTTTGTGACCGACTAAGGTAATAGCAGGGGTGAGGGGGTCACAACCTCTAGCATTAGCATAGTATAAAGGAGAAGCTCCCGAGTACATAGACTGAGCCCAAATCTGTCGCTTCCCACACTTTGTCCCCCCTGCTCACCCACACCCACCCATCCGCATCCTTTTCTATTTATGCCTTAGGACAAAAATGCCTCCTCTCGATTGGGAGTAGCTCACTTGAAATCCTGTGCAGTGGAAGCCGACAGGGCTGCCTTCCCTAGGACTTGGCTGGCGTCCTAACCCCCTTCCCTAGAAGGGGAGTGCCAGGCACTCTGGGGAACATTGGCGTAGGTCAGATTTCAGCCTCTGGAGCAGAGACAGATTTTGCCTCCTTTCCTGTAGCTGTCACGGCAAAGCAGAGGAGTGCATTGGGCTGTGCCGGGCCCTTCTCAGCGCCCTCCACTGGCTGCTGCGCTGCACCGCAGCCTCTGCAGAGCGGCTCCAGGAGGGTCTGGAGGCCGGCCCGCCAGCCGCTGGGGAGAAGCAGCTTGCCATGTGCCTGCAGCGCCTGGAGAAGACCCTTAGCAGCACCAAGAACCGAGCCCTGCTCCACATCGCCAAACTAGAGGAGGCCTGTATGTCCCCTCGTTCCCCTGAGCCCCACCTGCCACTGCTCCCATTTCTGGTTCTTTAATCGAGAGGGGAGAGGCAGGATGGCATCCCACTTCTTCCCAAGAGGATCTGAAATCATCCCACTTCCTTTTTTTTCTCCCCATAAGCATTGCATACATCCCAGGGACTTGGGCAGGGTGGCACCCGAGCCAATCAACCAACAGGTATTTACTGAGCATTGTTGTATGCCCAGCACTGTGCCAGGTGCTGGGGGCGGGGGAGGTGGGGGGCTACCGGAGGAGCATGTGGCAGGGTCCCTGCCCTCAACCAGTATACATGCTAGTGGGGAGCAAGACTAGTGTGTAATATACATGGAAAGAATTAGAGGACAAGGCAAGCACATGATCCATCCTTGTGTTTGTCTCCATGTTACTGATCATCTGAAAAACAAATAACTCTTGTGTTTGAGCGCTGCCTAAAATGTCCCTTAAACACGATACCTGTCTGCTGTCAGGCCTGCTGTGCCGTATACGTCTTGCACATGTTAGCTGTCAGAACCCTCCAGAGCATGAGATCAGACAGATCATCCAGTGGGAGGAAAGACTCTGATATTCCGTCTATGGGGCCTGAAGGCTGCAGTCTTCCTGTGGCTTGGGACCACCTAAGGATCTCTCATTCTCCAATAATGAGAATGTTAGGGTGGTTTACCTCCAGGTCTTCAAGACCTGGTTGAAGAACTTTTATAGGATTGGTATATTTATTACTTTTCAAAGTATGTTTTATCGCCTGTGGAAAGTACAGAAAGGTGACCACTATGTAAAAATGGGCTGTGTTGACAGTTTCGTACCCATCTTGAACACTTGACAAATGTTTATTGGCTGAAAAATGAATGACTATTTAACTTACTTTTAATGGGTCTCAAATCTTTCTGTTTTCCCCCCTATGCTACATGGAGGTTAATGGGCTAGTTGGTGCCATTATTCATCATTTGAGCCTCTGGAATTGTAACTAGGATAAGTGACATCACTCAATGCTAAATCATGTAGTATAGACCATGACTTAAGGCATTTAGGAGGAGAGAGCAGTGGGTTGGACCAGTTGGGTCAGTTGTTAAAGGAGCAGGGGCTTAAACAGAGGCTGGGGGACAGCGAGAGCTGGAGAGGTGAGGATGAGTTGGAGGGGAATTTCAGAAGGGAGGACGGCTAGAGCGAAGGCCCCGACAGGGAGTGGAAGGACAGATGGCCATGTAGGAGTCCAGCTTGACTGGCTTGGAGCGTGTTGGCTGCTTGCAAGGCTGGCACACTCCTGCGGTGGTTTGTAGCCGCCTCCCTGTTCCAGCCACTGGACTCCCCCCGCCCTCCCCGCCTCTCTCTGCCACAGCCTGTGTTAGGACACACCTAGTCTCTCCAGTTGGCTGCACGCATCCCCTAAAGGCAGGCCTCCGGGAATCGTTTCTGGGGGCTTCACTGTTGGTATGCACCCGCCTTCTAAAAACAGTGCATGCGCCCCCCGACCCAGGTCCCCAGCCTCCATGTCACCCTCAGGGGAAGCCTCCCGGCGTGGTTCTGTGATCCTTGGAGGTGCCAAAGTCGAGGAGTTTGGGGCCAGTCTCTCCTTCTCCTCTGTTTCCCGTCATGTTTCCGCATTTCCTTTTCTCCGCCAGCCTCCTGGACAGCCATCGAGCATTCTCTCTTGAAGCTTGGGGAGATCCTGGCCAGTCTCAGCAACCCCCAGCTCCGGAGCCAGGCTGAGCAGTGCGGCACACTCATCAGGAGGTACCCAGCTCCCAGGGCGATGGTGGCGAAGGGAGAGACGACAGGCCCGGCGGGGGGGCGGGGCATGTGGCACCTGGGCCCGACCCTCCTGCTCTCACCTGCTCTCCAGCTCTTCCCAGCTCACCAGACACCATCTGCTGTGTATCTGCCCCTGCAGCATCCCCACAATGCTGTCTGTGCACTCCGAGCAGCCGAACAAAACTGGCTTCCCCACTGTCCACGCGCTGGTCCTGCTCGAGGGCACCATGAACCTGACAGGCGAGACGCAGCCACTGGTGGAGCAGCTGATGATGGTGAAACGCATGCAGGTGGGAAGCCAGCGTTGCTTCTCTGTCCCCAACGTGGCTGGTCCTTTGGGGGCAGGAGGGAGGATTCTTCTGGTCCTTCTGGGAGGAATAGGGTTTCTCCTGTTCACGTGGGAAGTGGATCCCAGTCCTGCACGGTTCTGCCATCTCACCTGACGTCCCCAGTCCTCACAGTCCTGTGTTGCGCAGTCTCTGACCCAACCCAGTCCCCAGGGCCCGCAGGAGGCAAAGGGGGAAACGGGGCCCCTCTAATGCCTTGCCTTCGGGTCTCCCTGCAGCACATCCCCACCCCGCTGTTTGTCCTGGAGATCTGGAAAGCATGCCTCGTGGGGCTCATCGAGTCTCCTGAGGGTACAGAGGAGCTCAAGTGGACAGCTTTCACCTTCCTTAAGGTACCTGGGACGTGGAGCAGCAGGACAGCCAGTTTAGGAACGGTTCTTGGGAAAAGCAGCGACACTCTGGACCTTTGCCCTGCGTTTCTCCCGCTGGCGTCCTGCCCAGCCTGCCAGATCCCCAAGCACAAGTTCCCATCGATTATTTTCTCTGCAAGTCCCAGGGCCATATTTAGCCCACTTGGCAGGCCTCTGCTCTCTCTTAGCACACAGGTGCTGGTTAGCCTAGTCTTTAACCCACATGGGGCAGGGCAGCGAGCCCTGGTCTGTGAAGCAGGAGTCCCACTTTTGCGGATGGCACTTCCCTGTTGAACCAACAGCAGTGGGGGGTCCCTGTGTCTTGGAGGTGGAAAGCACCAGGCCCTGGGGTACCTGTCGGCTCCCTGGTGCGGTTCCAGGAATGCTTTCACTCTCAGGGCGGGGGCGTCCCTGTCTCTCTGCCCAGAGCAGGGGCTAAAGCGGACGCCCTTAGTTCTGGGTGAAAGAGAAGAACTTGAGCTCTCTGTTTTTTCCCCCTGCCTCATCCTCTAGATTCCACAGGTTTTGGTGAAATTGAAGAAATACTCTCATGGGGACAAGGTGAGCAGAAGAAATAAGATGGAGGGGGGCATGGGAACAGGGGAATCCTTGTTTCCGCCCTGGAGAAGCAAGGGCAAGGGAGGGGCCCCTAACTGGGGAGTAGTGTGTTCTTGTGCCTGGGGAAGGGAAGCGTCTGTATACCTGGGCATCTGTGTGCAGCACACACCTGCACCCAGTCTCCAGGCAGAAGGCCGCCGGGCCGCTCGGGAAGCAGGTTGCCTGAGATGGTCAGGGCCCGGACGGCCTTCTGCCCGTCTGGTCACTGGAAGCCAGTGGGTGGGCATGGCCGACTTGCAGGCTTTTGTCCCCAGCAGTGTCCTTGTGTTCCTGCATCGCAGGCTGTGGGTGGGGAGAAAGGCCTAGAAGCCATGTGGCCCTTCCTGGCTCTTTGTAGGACTTCACTGAGGATGTCAATTGTGCTTTTGAGTTCTTGCTGAAGCTCACACCCTTGCTGGACAAAGCTGACCAGCGCTGCAAGTACGAACTCCCCCACTTCACTCTACTGGGAGGTTCCCTGGGCTCTTCCACTGCTCATCTGTGTCAGATAAACCTCAGAGGACCATCTCACTGTTCGCCCCCCTTGGCAGGAGCAGGAGGCACCTGCTCCATGTGTGCCTGGAGCCCAAGCCCCTCCACCCTCTGGCTCCCCTCTGGCACGTTCTTTATCCCAAAGGAGGGAGGGGAGTGGGCTGGGACCCACTGCCCCTGCCCTCAGGAGTCCCTGCGCTACCCAGTCCTCTCATCATCTTTTTTCCCCTCACAGCTGTGACTTTACAGATTTCCTCCTTCAAGAATGTAGGAAGCAGGGGCTTCTGTCTGAAGCCAGTGTGAACAACCTTATGGCCAAGCGGTAAGCGTGAGCTCCCTCGGGCTGGTCCAGGCCCCCTTTGGCCTCCTGCCTCGTGTCCAGACCGGGCTGCTGGCTGCCTTTTCCCCTCCTGTCTAGAGTTTGGGTTGCGGGTGACTGGAACCAGGCCTATGTTTACCAGGAACAGGAGACACTGATTTCTGCAGACTAGGGTTTTGCCTTCTTGGGTGCTGTGCTCTTAACTCTCAGCCTCCTTTGTGATCAAGGCCAAAATCTTTAATCTTACTCCTAAATCTTAAATAAGCTTTCAGAATAGATGTAATGACCAATGACAAATTGAAGCTACTGCAATATTGGATACACTTTCATAAATGTCACTGGGACACCAAAAGTTTTCACGTGCTTCCCACCTTCTCTGCGAGCCTCTGCTTCTGGGGCTGGACTAGGGCGGGGGTCATCAATTTATCTCTATCCCTGTTCTCTCCTCTTGGCCAACTGGTTATGGCCACAGCGCGGCAGACCGGGAGCATGCGCCTCAGCAGAAATCGGGAGAAAATGCCAACATCCAGCCCAATCCTGGTCTGATCCTCCGAGCGGAGCCCACTGTCACCAACATCCTCAAAGTGAGTGCGCCTTCCTCTCGCCACCAGGGCCATTTCTTTCCTCTTCCCAGTTTTTCCTCTATTTCTAGGTAAATAAACAAGAGGCCATAGACCTCTCTCTCTTCTGGCTTTTAGACATAGTTACCTTGGAAGCAGAGAAACGGGGAAGGCAAGGGAAGCTTTCCTTGGAAACTAATTTATTGAGCAGCTCTTATAAGCCAGACACTGTGGTAGGTGCCTTCCCTTAGCTCGTCTCTGACAGAAACAGCAGGGAGTTGCACAGCCATGACCTCGCTGCGCCAGCCCCACCACCGTTGTCCCAGGTCAGTTGAGAGGGACAGAGTGGAGAGCAAGGATAAGGTTAAGGACTGTTTCCTAGATTGGAATCAAAAGACATAGATTAAGTCGCAGGTCATGGTGTACACACAGAGAGACATACAGAGAGAGAGGCTGTGGCTAGGGGTCTTCAGTGTTCTTCAGGACCTGTTTTCCTGTCGTGTCCCCAGACGATGGATGCAGACCACTCCAAGTCCCCAGAGGGGCTGCTGGGGGTCCTGGGCCACATGCTGTCTGGGAAGAGTCTGGACTTGCTGCTGGCTGCAGCCGCTGCCACTGGGAAGCTTAAGTCCTTCGCCCGGAAGTTCATCAAGTAAGGAAGGCAAAGCTTCTGACCAGGGCCAGGGAGGCATATCAATAGGAGGAGGTGCTAGGATGGGGTGGGGCCTGGGATCTGGGTCTCCCCAGGGATGCTCAGGCCAAGGCAGTGCACCCCCGCTGGAGACCCTTGGGGAAGGACTGTCTCTCTGGATACGGAGCCTTTTTTCTCTTTAGCTGAGGATGAAGTGGAGGAATTTAAGGAGGCGACAAGACATTGAACAGTTGGCGAGGAGGGATTTCATGGGTGCCCCATCATTAATCAGGGGCTCTCAAATCCTGTTGACATTTTTTTGGTTAACCTAGCATTTGGTATATAGAATTTTGCTCTATTCCGTACACCATTCTCTAGGTCTGGGAAATTTTTTAAAAATACAGTTCCTTTTTCTGTAGCAATGGTGTCAATGTTGAGTTTAAGCTGTAATTTGGACACTAGCAACCATTTCTCTGAGCGGGTGTAGCCCCCCGACCCCAGCTGTTGCGCCGCCCTTGCCCTGGGTGATGCGACCTGTCACCATTCCCTCCACAGTTTGAATGAGTTCACGACGCACGGCAGCGAGGAAAGCAGTAAGTGCTCTGCGCACCCCCAGGCCTGGTTGGCCCTGAAAGACGGGCGTGGAGGGAGAGCTTGAGAGGCAGGAGGATGCCTTTGTGCATCCTGGGTGGCTGTTTTCTCCCCCGAATGATGGCTGATGAAGCCTCAGGGTGGGCGGGGGGGCTTGAAAGAGGGTAATGCTGGGAACAGGATTCTTCTACAACCACCCCTTTGTCTCTCTCCCTCCCCCTTAGGGTTTGGTTGGGTTTTGGGGGGGAAGGAGGGTATCAGGAGTCTTTGATTCCAAGGAAGGGATGATGTTCCAATTGAGACTCAAGAAAAGGATTCTGAGCCTCAGCTGTGAAGGAGACACTTGGTTCCTGACCTTCCTTGAGGTGAATCCTGATCCCCACCTGACCCAGACCAGGGCTTTGGGCCCTGCCCCAGGCTGCAGGGTCAGCCTTCTCATTCTTCACAGCCAAATCCGCCTCCGTGCGAGCCTTGCTCTTTGACATCTCCTTCCTCATGCTGTGCCACGTGGCCCAGACCTACGGCTCCGAGGTGAGTGAGAGGGGAGGCAGGGAGGATCAGGGGCGCTGAGTGGGTAGGGAAAAGTGGGAGGAAACAACCAGTATCTCTTCCCCTTATCACCCGTTACCCAGCTGCAGTTACCCCTGTCAGCCAGCCCAGACCAAGGGTTCTGCCGGCTGTGGGAATCGGTCCCACCCAGAGACACTTACGGATGCCCTCCTGGCCTATCCCAAGTCCTTCAGGGCCACACTCCCGACCACTAGGTGGCAGCATAGCCCTGCTCTTTCTCCTTAGCTAATTCATCCCTGATTCTTCAGAGGGAAAGGGAGAAAGGGGCACGGTGGCGGGGGATGGGAAACAGATGCAGGGCACTGTGCCCTCCCCACTTGTCCGGTGACTGTCCCTTCCTTTCCCAGGTGATTCTGTCTGAGTCGAGCACAGGGGCAGAGGTGCCCTTCTTTGAGACCTGGATACAGACCTGTATGCCCGAGGAGGGCAAAATCCTGAACCCTGACCACCCCTGCTTCTGGCCGGACTCCACCAAAGTGGAGTCCTTAGTGGCCCTGCTCAACAACTCCTCGGAGATGAAGCTGGTGTCAGTGGCCTGGGCGCCCTCTCCAAGGGTGGCGGTGGGGGCAGTGCCCAGTCCCTCTCCTTCAGCCCGTCCCTCGTTCCCCTGTGATGATTCTTCTTCCACCCTCACCCCCTCGCAGGCAGATGAACTGGCACGAAGCCTGTCTCAGCATTTCAGCTGCCATCTTGGAAATCCTCAATGCCTGGGAGAATGGGGTACTGGCCTTCGAGTCCATCCAGGTAGCCCCATCTTTACAGTAGCCTTTCTTCTTCCCTGGGACACAGAACCAGATAGATTGTTATATTTCATAAGAACAAAAAGACCCTTAATCCAGGAGCTCATGTTTGGATGTTGATCTTCCTTATAATCATGTTAGCCACTCCTTTCCACTTAGGTAATTTTGGGGAAATGGAACCTGTGGTGAAGAGAGTTGTGGAATGTGGCCCAGGGCTCCACCTGCGGCACCTAGCTGCCTGCAAAGGCTGGGGAGAGCAATGGCCGGGGAGGGAGGAAGAGCGACCCCAGGCACCCTTTTCCCCTCTCTCAGAAAATCACCGACAATATCAAGGGAAAGGTATGCAGCCTGGCAGTGTGTGCTGTGGCTTGGCTTGTGGCCCACGTACGGATGCTGGGGCTGGATGAGCGTGAGAAGTCACTGCAGATGATCCGCCAGCTGGCAGGGCCACTGTACAGTGAGAACACCCTGCAGTTCTACAATGAGAGGTCAGTAACCCAGCCCCTCCCTCCTGGGAGTCTGCAGGTCTGTTGTGAGCAGTCAGCTCCTCCAGTAACCGGTCTCCTCTTCCCAAGAACACTGCTCACTTGCTCCCTCCCTCCCTCCCTCACTCACATTCTTACCCACGGATTCACTCCCTGATTCAGCAACATTTCAGTGTGTGTGTGACCCAGCGCCTGCTGTGTCCCAGAATCCAGACCCCGAACAGCTATGATTCCTGCCCTCAAAGAGTTGTCATGTTCTGGAGAGCTAGCTTGCCAGAAGAACAAAGTGCTTATCTTAGCTGCGTCACTGCCGAGAAACTGTGAGCCTGTCTGCAGGTTTTGTAGACCGTGAGCCTGCCCACTCCCCTCGCTCCCCACCTGGCTATATGCTGCGACAGTTTCTGCCTTGGCTCTTCAAGGGCTTAGAGAACCAACCTGGTGATCTCGGCCATGTCGAAGTCAGTGGTGTTGGTTCATAAGCATTTTTTTAAAAAAATTATGGCAAAAAATACATAATAAAATCTACCATCTTAACCATTTTTCAGTGTACAGTTCAGTAGTGTTGATGTATATTCACATTGTCATAAACAGATCTCCAGAATTTTCATCTTGTAAACTCTGTTTCCATTAAGTAACAGCTCACCCTTTTCCCCACACTCCCAGCTTCTTGTAACCACCATTCACGGTACCTTCTGTTTCTATGAATTTGACTACTCTAGACACCCCAGGTAACTGGAACCATACAGCATTTTTCTTTTTGTGACTGGCATATTTCACTTAGTGTAACGTCCCCAAGGTTTGTCTACATCGTAGAATGTATCAGAATTTCCTTCCTTTTTAAGACAAATAATACTCCGTTGTGTGTATATACCATGTTTTGTGTATCCATTTGTCAGCTGATAGACACTTGGGTGTCTACCACCCCTTGGCCGTTGTGAATAGTGCTGCTGTGGACATGGGCATGAACAATGGATAAGTTAGGAGTGATGACTCACAAGGTAGCCATCGCGGTGCCTTAAAAGGGAGATGTGGGAAATTGAGCTGAAATAAGGTTGGGGAGGGCCTACGAACTCTCATATTTTTCCCTTGCCTCTTCTTTTTCTTTCTTCCCTCATCATCCTCCTTCCCCAAGTGATGGGATGTCCGCTCTCACATAGTCCAGTCTAAGCACCCCGACTCCTGTCTGGGTGAGCCATAGCGGGGAATCTGTGGCTCCATTGCGCAGGTAGAAAAAGTGGCTCTCAAAGTCACAGTGACTTTCCCAGAGCCACGCAGCATTCCAGGGACAGTTCTCAGACCCAGGTCTGTACTCACAGTTCAAGACTCTTCGTGAGAAAATTCCTGGATATGCACTTGCATTTGCCCAGCTACCAAGGGCCGGGAAGAGTCCTGTGGGGGCAGCCCTGGGGCCCTGTCCTGGAAGCAGCAGTTTACATTGGTAGGAGGCCAAGGCAGGGCGGGGACCCCCCTCAAGCACTCAGCCCAGAGGGAAGTGATTGTTCGTATTTATGCCAGAGGATTGGTGTGGCCAGCCAGGGGGGTGAGGGAAGCTGGAGAGCGAGAAAATGTGAATATGCGCTGCATAACCTGGGGAAGGAGAGCACCCCCGCAGTAGGCTCTGTGCCCAGCAGGCAAGAGTCCTGCCAAGAGCAGGACTGGTAGGGTCAGGTCTGCTAGGGGGTTGCAACTTCCTCTTGTCTCCTCCCTTAGCATAGAATGGGATTAATTCCCCAGGAATATTTCCGCAACCTGAGTCCTGGGAAAAGCCTGGCCTGGGTATTTCCTCGCCTCCCTACCCTAGCCCTTGAACCCGGTGTTGCCCAAGCCTCAGGGTCCCTCCCCTCCCCCAGGGTGGTGATCATGAGCTCGATCCTGGAGCACATGTGCGCTGACGTGCTGCAGCAGACGGCCACGCAGATCAAGTTCCCGTCCACGGGCATGGACACGATGCCCTACTGGAACCTGCTGCCCCCTAAGCGACCCATCAAGGAGGTGCTGACAGACATATTTGCCAAGGTGCTGGAGAAGGGATGGGTGGACAGCCGCTCCATCCACATCTTTGACACCCTGCTGCACATGGGAGGCGTCTACTGGTTCTGCAACAACCTGATTAAGGTACTTGAGGTCGGGTGGCAGTGGGAGCCAACATGGGCCAGTTTGGGGAGCAGGCATCCCCAGACCCTGGGAGACATCTGAGGAAACATGAGAGGCTTCTCCGGTACTGCGAGAAGATTCCCTGGAGTGGAGGCTGGTCCTCCCCTTGGAGCTCCTGGACTCGGAGGGGAGCCGCCCTCCCAGGGAGCTCTGGGTAGGGGCGCTGAGGCAGAGGGCTCCTTCCCGGAGAGAGCCGGCTGGAGTGGCGGGGGCGTCAGAGCCCCACGACCGCGGCCTCAGCGCCTGTGTGCCCCGCACCTGCCCGCTTAGGAGCTGCTGAAGGAGACGCGGAAGGAGCACACGCTGCGGGCGGTGGAGCTGCTCTACTCCATCTTCTATCTGGACATGCAGCAGGTGACCCTGGTCCTGCTGGGCCACATCCTGCCTGGCCTGCTCACCGACTCCTCCAAGTGGCACAGCCTCATGGACCCCCCCGGCACTGCTCTCGCCAAGTAGGAGTCTCTACAGAGCCTCGGGTCCCCACAGCCCTGAGCCAGGCACACTTACCGGGGGTCACCCTGGAACCCGGGCTGTGGGGAGGCCCTATCAGGTGGGGCCTGGTCATCATGGCCACAGAAACCCCCGCTTGGGGCCTCCCTAATTTTACTACTTTTCCTGGAACCCCTTTGCCAGGCTAGCTGTCTGGTGTGCCCTGAGTTCCTATTCTTCCCACAAGGGACAGGCGTCTTCCCGCCAAAAGAAGAGACACCGTGAAGACATCGAGGTAGGGGACTGTGCCCTTCCCTTGTTCGTGCCCAACAGACATCCCTGAGCCTTTTCTGGGCAAGAGGCGCCCTCCCCGGCAAAGGCAATCAGGCACGCCCCCTACCCCGCAAACGCCTGGTGGCTGCACGTCTGCAGGGGGAGCAGCGAGCGGGTCCACTAGGATCGTTGCGGGGGCGGTGAAGGTGGCTCCTCTGGAGATGCTGACCAGGGCCGGTGGGGACTTCGCTGTCACCCACTGGGATCTGAGCTCCAGGCCTCTTACCCAGTAATCGTGAGTTTTCCCTCCAGGATTACATCAGCCTCTTCCCCTTGGATGACATGCAGCCCTCCAAGCTGATGCGGCTTCTGAGCTCCAATGAGGAGGATGCCACCATCCTTTCCAGTCCCAGTGAGTGTGGACAGGGGCTGGGTGGCTGCTTCCTTTCTTGGGAGCTCAGTCCTGCCTAGGCGGCTCTGCGCTGGCCCCTAGCTGCAGGCTTCTTTGCCAGCAGGGCTGGGAGGGTGTGGCCAGAGTTTGCCCCATTTTGTCCCCTATGGGCTGCTGCTCTGTTTCCTTAGCCCCCTTCCCCCAGAGACTGGAGTTGCTGAGGATCCCTCCCTGAGGATTAAACAGTTCTGCCCGGATGCAGCTCCAGGGGCACATTGCTCTCCTTCCCCACCCCTTAGACAAGGTTGGGGGGGAATGACAAGCTCCTCAAGTGAGTTCACTGTCTTGGGCACAGTCTGTGCCGTTGACTCACCAGCTCTGACCTTCCTTCCCCTGAAACAGGCCCTGAGGCCTGGCTCAGGCCTGGGCTGGGACTTGGGGCTGCTCCCCGCTCTTCCTGCCTGAGGAGCGTCCCTCCCCCATCAGCCTCCCTGGATGTCACTGCCTCTCCCTGCCAAGGGCTCCTGCGGAGACACTGAAGTTTTCCTGTTTCTAGAGATTTCCCCTGAGCCTGGAAATTTCTTCTAGGGACGAGGGAACCAGCTCTGTGCTTGAGCAGAGGACAGACGCTCTTTCTGCCAAGCCCAGTGACCTTTGGCTAGTTAACTTAGCACATCTGAGCCTTGGATTCTTTGTCCATAAAGTGGCTGCGTGAGGCCTGAGTGGCTTCAGCCTCGTACAGCCTGCAGATGGGCCCCAGGCACCCGGTGCTGCTCACCGATGCTGGTTCTTCTGCCTCATCTCCTCACGGGGACCTCTGTACTCAGGGCCCCCTGAGACTCTGGACCCAAGGACCTTCTCGGGGTGGGCCCTCTGCACCTGGTGGGCCCTCTGCACCTGCACTTGAACCCAAGAGGCCTCCTCCTTAGTGCTCCTTCCACCTGCCCCACAGCCGACCGGTCCATGAGCAGCTCCCTGTCGGCCTCCCAGCTCCACACAGTTAACATGAGAGACCCGCTGAACCGCGTCCTGGGTGAGTCCTCCCAGCCTCGCACCTGAAACAGGGGTTCAGGCCTTGTCAGCTGGAAGGAGGCCTCCTGGTGCTCCCAGCCCCTCTGCCACATTTCCCCGCCTCTGTCCTCCCTGCCCCACTTGCTGGGCCTCCGCCGCCCCGGCTCCCGTAGGGAGTCTCTTCCGACTTGCCCCCAGTTCTTTCTCGTTTCCGCTTTTTGTCATCCCCACTGCAGGGGGCCCTCTCAGCGCTGCTTTCTTGTCCCTTTTCTGTCCTGCCCCCTCCCGGAGTCTAACCTTTTCTCAGGCCTTTCTCATGGGATTCCTCTCCTCCCACCCCGGCCCGTCCCACACAGCCAACCTGTTCCTGCTCATCTCCTCCATCCTGGGCTCGCGGACTGCCGGCCCGCACACGCAGTTCGTGCAGTGGTTCATGGAGGAGTGCGTGCACTGCCTGGAGCAGGGCAGCCGCGGCAGCATCCTGCAGTTCATGCCCTTTACCACCGTGAGTGCCTTGCGCCCGGGGGACGGCCCCACCTTCTGGGTCAGATGGGGTTTGGCAGTGAGTCCTCGGAGGGAGGGGGCCTCCTTCCTCCCAACACGCCGTGCCCACCACGGGGCAGCCTCGGTGAGCAGCTGTCTCTGCCTGCCTGTCTGTGCAGGTGTCAGAACTGGTGAAGGTGTCGGCCATGTCCAGCCCCAAGGTGGTCCTGGCCATCACGGACCTCAGCCTGCCTCTGGGCCGCCAGGTGGCTGCCAAAGCCATTGCTGCCCTCTGAGGGGCCACCCGGGCCCCGCTGGGAGGGTGCCAGCCCCAGGTTCCTCGAAAGGAACAGGGAGGAAAGATGAGACATCATTGCTCATACCCACAAAATGTAAGAGCCCTTTGTCAGTTTCCAGATCTTTCCCCTCTCCCTGACTTCTGACCGCTATGATGTCTCCCTGTCCCCTCCTTTCATAATTTCCTCTTCCTGCTGCCGCTGCTGCCCAGTGTGAGCAGCCGGGTTCCTTAGCTCAGGCCGGTCTCCCGGCCGCAGCCCTCCTCTGCGCCCTGGGGCGCTGTGTAGGTGCAGGGTATGTATATGTATGTGTATGTATATTAAAAACATTTTTTTCCATAACACATGAGGGAAGTTCACCTCAGCTCACCTGTAAATAAAGATCCTTGCAGATTCCTCTGTAAGTGCTGTCAGTGTCTTTGACTGGGGAAGGGACAGTGTCTTCTCCTTGGAATCCCCTTTGGCATGGCCCCAGAGAGACTCCTCCGGGGCTTGAGGAGGGAGGGAGGGAGAGGTATGCAGAGAAGGGCCGGCCCCAGGGTCCCTGCTGGTCTTGGGTCCACTCAGGAGGGTCAGGGAGGATGGCGGGAGCAGCTTCCCTTCCTCAGACTCACGTTTGGTGATAATGAGTCAACAGCGGCCTGCCGCCTACGCCCACCTCCAAAAGTCAGACTCACTCTGAAAAGGGTGAGGTTTTGGCCAAAGGCCCCACTGGCTCTGGGGTAGAGTGTCCTGTTCTGATGCTCCCCAGCCCGGCCCAGCCCCACCCAGAGTCTGATGAGCCAGGGTCGATCTGTCCCCCAGAAGAACACTGGGGACACGAGGGGCAGGGCTCTGTGCAGCCCCACCTGGCCTGCGCCACAGGTCCCCAAGCCTGGTTTCCTCAGGACTGCCCCTCAGGGAGGAAGGACCCTGAGCCACACAGCTGGGACGTTGCCTGGCCCAGCCGGACCCTGCCTTCCAAGGAGCCGCATGCAGAGGGGACGTGGGAAGTGATGAGGACGGGGAAGCCCAGGGAGGGGGACAGGTGCACGTGCACCTTGAGCTGAGCGCACAGAGAGGGGGACCTCAAGCCTGCCTGCGCTGCGGGCCCATCTTGGGGTTCAGCCCCGCCCAGCTGTGAGCTCAGCCTTTCAGGCTGGCAGGAGACTCCCTGATGGGTCTGCGACAGCCGGTGAGGGAGACGAGCAGAGCCTGGAATTTGAGTTCTGAGCCAAGTGGTCACCTTGACTCAGCTTCCCAACCCGTACAAGTCACACCTTAATTCCGTCTCTGTGGGCGCCGGTGAGCGTGGATGGGCTAGAATTCACGGAAGTCGCTAAGCTGACCAGCCCTGTGCAGATATGAAGTGGGTCTGGGCTGTTAAGGTTCTACCCCAGCTCCACACTGCTCTCCTCGCACCGGCGTCCCGTGTGCCTCCCGGACCCGGCTGTGGCCCCGCGAGGGCGGGACCATGCCTGCCCTGTGCGCTGCCATGTCCCTGCCCCTCAGCCCAGTGCCCACACAGAGCAGGTGCGAGGTAAATACATGCTGCGGGGGTGGATGTGGGGGAGCCAGGGGTTCCCCCTTCCTCCCTGCACCCCCTCTTCTCCCTCTGCCCTTAACCGCCATTCGCTCCCTGCCCCCAACACCTGGCCAGGCACCAGCTGGACTCAAGAAGGAGGAAAGACGTTTGCTAGAGACAAATCCTTTATTAACATGAAATTTGGCTACAATGAGAAAGCGGGGGCAGAGGCAGAGAGTGAACAATTGAGTTTCCCTCTCACACACCCATCATATAATCCCCCCTCATCGTTTCCCACCCACGTTCCCAGTCCCTCTCCAGCACGGCAGACACATGACCGTCTGCCCAGCCCCAATAGGAGTCAGAACACTGACCCTGTGGGGGTGGGGCAGGTGTCACGAGCCTATGGGTGTATACAGTGCTTCCAGAAGGAGGGACACCCCATGGGTATCAAAACATGCCCCCAAAATACTAAGAAAAATTATAGTTCCTGACAATTTTGTGGGACCCCAGAGTCAGGCTTCCCAGCTCTGGCTGCCTGTGCTGGGCTTCAGGCCCATGTGGGGATGGGGGTGTCAGAAGCAAGGCCTGGCCGACCTGGCATTCACAAGCCAAGCCCAGGCCAGGCCTGGGGAGGGGTACGGGACCCAGCTGGGGAACACTGCTGTTTAAATATTAAACAGGGCTGTCTCGTCTCCCACTTGGGAGATTTCCTGATGCTTCCAAGGGCCCCCAGTTGGGGGCCCTCGGGGGTGGGGGTTCACTGCAGCTCTTCCAGTGCCCTCCACGGTCATAGGAGTTAATACTTGGTATTTACCTATATGCCTCCCAGCCCAGGGGACAGGAAGACAGGAGAATGAAACTTGGAGGTGGAGGGAGGACCCAGGAGTCTGGGCCACCTTTCCACTCCTCCCTGTCTTTAAATATTAGGTTTAAATAAACATAAATATTAAATAGACATAAATACATTGAATGGGGCGGGGTTTGCTCAGGGCTCGGCAAGGTAGCGCAGGACACGGTACGCCAGCTCCAGGAAGCTCTGCAGGTTGGCGGCCACAAGGACGCCTCCTGCCCGGCGCTGGAAGGCCGAGGTGAAGGCTGGCATGGGGCCCTGGATGGCCGGCATGGCAGGGGCCATCCTCAGGTCTTCCATCTGTGGGGGAAAAGACAGGATCCGCGATGAGGCCCTGCCGAGTGGGCGTGGTTATCACAGGTGAAATGCACGAGGCTGACGGCCCCCGGAAGATCACAGGGTTGACATTGGAACCAGGAGCTGAACCCAGGTGTGTTTCAAGGTCCAGTGATCTGGCTCCTGCCCTCAACGAGAGGGAGTGTGGGAGCGCCAGCAGCAGGAGGGTCCTGGGATGGGGCGGTAGCTCCCTACATACAGCGCCCCCATCCCAGGATGCTCCCACCAAACCCTAAAGTATTCTCAGGACCCCCTAGGCTTCTAGCACGACCTTTAGGGACCAGCTTGGTCCAGGCCCTTAATATGCCTCTCCCAGTCAGGCTCACCTGCTGCCAGATGTTGGTGGCAAAGTCCGCGATGTCCAGCTGCAGCACGTCCAAGGCAGGGGCTACCTCAGGGGAGATTCCTGCCAGGGCCTGCAGGAGGCCCTGGTAGAGGAAGAGGCCACCGTGGAGTTGTCTCAGGCAGCCCATCTGGAGGAGATGGAGTAGGAGACTTAGGGGGTGTGGCCTGGGACGCTCCCCTCAGGGCCCCAGCTTGCAGCCTGGGGGTGGGGGGTCCTTCCCTTCCCCTCACTGCGTTCCTCCGTTGCTCCACACACTCACCGGCTGCAGGGCCTGGCTGGAGCAACTGCTCAGGGGAGCCTGAGGGATGCCCAGGAAGTGCCTGAGCAGCACCAGCTCCTCAGGGTGGCACAGCTTGTGGGTAGCGCACTGGGGATGAGAAGGATGCTCAGTGCAGGGGACACGATAGGGCCAGCTGTTCCTCCGCATCTCTCGGAGGTCTTCGCCTGCCTCTGGGTCCTGCCAGGCTCCTCAGCCCCATTCCGCCCCCACTCCCACCCCAGCCAGCCTCTCCCAGCACTGTCCCCAAGAGGTTCTCTTTTCCCGGGTTCTTCCCAGCCTTTCACGGCTCCTCTGCTCCTAACCTGCTTTCTTCCATTTCCCATGCCTCCCCTCGCCCATGCTCCTTCCTGGTGTCTCCCCCACACTCCCCTTCACCTCCCTCCTCTCTCCTCTCTGGGTCCTCTTTCCACAGCGCCCTCTCGGCAATATCTGTGTCTCCTCTCTGGTTTTTGGCCAGCCTCTGTCACTTACCAGCCTTTCCTGCATGACCGCAACATCAGCCTGGATCTTCCTCACTTGCTCTAAACACTTGAGCAGGAAGCTCTGGGGCAGGTTGCTGGCAGGGCCCAGGGGAGTGGCTTCTTGCACAGCCAAAAATGCACTGTACCAGAGTAGCAGCTGCAGGGCTAGGAGCAGACGGAGGCTCAGGAGACATGCTCTCCACTCCTACCTGGGTCCCGTTCTGGGGGCTGAGGGACCCTCGGCTGCTCCCCCCACTCCAGCCTCCCTCCCATGCCCCAGGCAGGCGGGCAGGCGGGCAGCTCCTGGGCCCTGGACAGGGACACTCACCCATCAGCATCATGGGGCTCTGGTCGGCAGGCTCAGCAGGGTCTGGGTGGGTCTGCAGGCTCAGGGCTTTGTCAGGGACCAGCTCTGGAGGGCCTTTATACAAAGCCCATGGAGGGCTGGGAGGAAATTACCTGGTACTGAGACTAAGGCTTAGTAATAACTTCCCATGATTTATGCAAATTTGTTGTCCAGGACAATGAGGGGGGGAGTGGGTTGAGACAAAAAGCTGTTTGCGAAAGTTTTGTGAAATTGTGGAATCTCTGATCCTTCTTTGACGTCGTGCCCCCCTCAAACTCTCTTCCTTCCTTTGGCCCCACCCAGGCCTGGATTGCCCCAGGGCGTTTGAACAGAACCCCGGAACAAAGGCTGAGCCATCGATAAAGACTTGGAGGCCGCAGTCCGGTCAGGCTGATCTGGGAGAGGCAGTCCTCCAGGCAGCCAGCCCTCTCTGCCTTGGCAGATCCGTGGGGCAGCTCCCTTTGCCACTTTCCCTTGGGGAAATCAAGCCACCTGCTCCCTGCCCCCAAATCCTGAGAGAGGAGAAGCTAGTTGCCCCCATTCCTACCCCCCAAACTCCCAGGAGGCTGCCTTCCTGAGTCCTCTTCTGAAGGGCCAGCGACTTGGGATAGGGACCTTAGGGTCCTGCCTCCTATCCCCATGCCACACTTTGATGGCTATCATCCCAGACTCCTGTCCCAAGTTGGTCAGCTGGGAACTCCCCAATACCCCCTGTGACTCATTCTCTTAAGCCCCTGGAATCCTGGCAGAGACCAGAGGAAACCGGATGCCTGTCCCGAATGAAGCAAGACGCTTGGGGGCTTTGGGTTCACCTGACCTTGCCCTTCCTCCTCCTCCTCCCACATTCCCCTTCCCCAAACAGTGTCCCGGGGCTTTGGAGTTGGGGGCCTGGGACACGTGGCTTCCCAGACCAGGTTCACTGCCAGCCAGAGTGTGTGTCCTGGCCTGAGGCGACGAAGAGCTGGGGGTGACAAAGGAGAAACTGCCCTGGCTTCGGGTCCTACAACCATGCAATGCTGGCGCTGGAAGGAACCTTGGAGTCTGTTCCAACCCTGTGACTGGGCCAGAGAGGGAAGTGCCTTGGCCACGGTCAAGGGTCGCAGAGTCGGAGTTACACCCCGGGCCTCTGCCTGGGGTCAGAGAGCTTCCCACAGGCCGTGGGCCCTGCCCAGAACACTCTGGCAGATCACACGCAAGGCTGCGGTGTTCTTCTCCAGTTTACTCTTGAAAAGTGCCAAGGCAGAGAGGCATCTTCTCTTGAGGAGTGGGTGTGGCGCTTTGGGAGAGGCCATCTCTGGGGCAGGGGTGCCCCCTGGTGGTCAGAGCTGGTAGAGTCTTCACCTGAGGATCTGCTCCCATCCTGTCCTGCCTGCATGAAGAGGCCCTGGCCCCCAACTCCGCTTTCAGATAGGTCTTCTGCTACCACGCATGGATTGAACCTGGCTCTGGCCTACCACAGGGCTGGGTTTAACAACTGAGAAGGCAGGAGATTCGCATTAACAATTATGCCCCCGAAAACTTCCAGAGAGCTCAGCCTGCCTTACACATTGTGCAGAGCGAGCAGAGCACTCTCTATATGCTATTGAATGCATTCCTTTTAATAAGCCTATGAGGAAGGGACTAGACCCATCTTCCCTTTCACAGAAGACAAACCTGACCTCAGAAAGCCTAAGTAACTAGCCAAATAGCAGAACCCAGGTCTGCCCTGTGCCAAAATCATAAACTCTTAACCATTGAATCCCTTAACCAGCGTTTGGCCTTCCTCACTCATGACTAGGCCAAGTCTAGACCTGGAGTTTTATCTTCACCTACAGTCTAAACGTATCAGATGTTTGGTTCATAAAAATATGTTAATTCTAACAAGGGTAGCCAGAATGGTGGAAGGACTCGACATCATAATTTGAAGAAAACAGGCTGTTTTGCTGGGGAAGACATGGGGATTGTCATGTGGTCTCAAGGGCCAGAAAGGGGACAGGGAGTGGAGGCCACAGCCAGCCCGTGTCCAGCTCAGCAGGAGGCAAGAGCTCTGATGGTCTGAGGTGCTGGAAGGTGGAGCGGGCTGCTTCCCCGGGGGCGGGGGGCGCTGTCCCCAGGAAGCGTCCGCCTCCATCCCCCAGGGAGAACCTCCGAATGTTAGCTGGCGATTATATGTCAGGCGCCTTCCATCACGCTTTTGTCATTTCATTCTGTCTTCCAAGCAGTAGGGTGTGGATTATTCTCGTTATAGACAAGGGATGGCTTCAGAGAAGCAAAGGGCCTTCCCCAAGGTCACAGTCGGCGGCAGAGGCAGGCACTGTTTGCTTCCCAAGCCGCTGTGGCTCCCATTCCATTACCTTCCTGTTCAGAAAGCTGTACTTCCTAGATAATGGCTCAATCCAGACTTTTGCCCAACTCAGGGGAGAGGGGAGAGGGAGCTTGTTATTGGCCATTACACACACAGGCTGAGCTAGACCAAGGGTCTGGCTCCAGAGACCCCTAGTTATTCATCCTTCCAGCTTCTGAAAGGCTTTCCATGTCTTTTTCAATGTCCAGAACTGGTCAGCAACTTCCCCTCACATTTCTTGTTTTCATCTGGCACTGGGTTTGGAGCATCTTTATACAGATTCTGGAGTAACTTATTTCTTGCAAACTTGGCCAGTGGACCAAGATATGTACATCCTGAGTTAAGAATGGGTTTTCCAGTTTTAAATGGTTGGGAAAAGAATCAAAAGAATATTTCGTAACATTAAAATCACATGAAACGTGAATCCTCGTGTTCGCAAATAATTTGTTTACATATTGTTTATAGCCATTTTCAAGAAGGGCGGAAGTGAGTAATTGTGACAGACCATATTGTTGATGGGAGAGACCTGGTTCTTCCTACTGACGCATGTAAAAAAATCACAGATCAGCAAACCTATTAGCGTGCAATCAGAGTTTATTAGTGATCCGTTCCCATGGAAGAGAATGGGCCTAGCTAAGGTGGGGGCTGGGTGAGAAGCATAGGCTCAGGGCAAAGCAGGGTGGCGAAAGTGAGGGAGGCTGGAGGCCGCCCCGGGGGGCCTGTGGCTGGGGGGCCAGAGAGCCAAGAGAGCAAGTCCTTTGTTCTGAGGACTTACATAGTTGGTGGGATGGGAGTAAAAATATTACATATTGATTGACGGGTAAATGTGGTGCCAGCTCTCCCAGGGGCGCGGGGCCCGTGACTACCCAAACTTAGGAATGTGTGGGGGTCTGTTAGCCCTATTCCGTATCCTGCTCTTGACTCCATTTGTTCATCTTGTTGTAAAACAGACACGTGACAGGAGGCTGTTAATTAAAGTCTGGGCTGTTACCCAAAGTTATGTATGGGCTCTTCTTTGGGCCCTGGGGACCCTCTCCTGCATTCCAGGCCTTGGGATGAGAGCACAGTTTCAAGGCCTTCTTTCCCAGGTAGTGGAAACACCACACAGAATTTCAAGGACTTCCCTCCTTCCGTGTTAACATAGTGTTTCTTGTGATGTTGGAACACCTGGCAGTATTATTGGACCAGGCTCAGGACGGCTGAGTGAGTGGGTGAGACTTGTCTCCTTCCCCCTCTCTGCCAATAGTTATGTAGACTGTTCATTCTACATAAGTGATAAAAGGCGTTTCCTGGCAACCAGATGCCAGACGCTGGCCAGTAACCCCAGTGCACTCTCAGAGTTCTCCCCATGCTGTCTCCTGCCTCAGGAAGGTTCACAAGCCTAAAAAATGTACTATTTGGCCCTTTAAGAAAGTTTGCAAAGTGTGTACACAGTACATGCGTTTGCAGAGATATCTTCTGCAGCACAGCCTGTAATAGTAAACGGATGCCCACCAATGGGAATGGCTAAATAAACAGTGGCCCATTCATACCAGATATGTCTCCCTGCCACCCCTGACTGAAACTCCATGAGGAAAGGAGTTTGTTTTACTCCATTGTATTTTCAGTACCTGGAACAGAGCTGGGCTCATATATCAATATAAGACCTCAAAACCAATAATGAGTAAGTGACATTCCTGTGATACATCATTTGCAAAGATTTAAAGACTCAAAACACTATTATATTTTGTAGTAAAAGCATAAACACATAAACTGGAAGGCTACCTGCTGAATTCATCCACGTAGCTGCTTCTGGGGAAGGAAGAGAAGAGCCTGGGAAATGAACAAGATGGGCTTCCAATCCATCTGTAATTATTTCTCTTTTTTTCACTTATTTTTATTGCTTATGCTATTATAGTTGTCCCAATTTTGCGCCCTTTGCCCCCCTCCACCCATCACCCCCAACTCCCTCCAGTGATCCCCCCTCCTTTGTTCATGTCCATGGATCATGTATACAAGTTCTTCAGCAACTCCATTTCCTATACTTGCTCTTAACAGCCCCTCATCTATTCTGTAATTACCAACTTGTACTTCTGAATCCCTGCACCTTTTCCCCTTTTCCCCAGACCTTCCTCCCAACTGGCCACCCTCCCAATGATCTCCATATCTATGATTCTGTTTCTGTTCTGCTTGTTTGCTTAGTTTGTTTTTTAGATTCAATTGTTGATAGTTATGTATTTATTGTCATTTTAATATTCAATAGTTTTGATCTTCTTTTTCTTAAGTAAGTCTCTTTAATATTTCATATAATAATAGTTTGGTGATAATGAACTCCTTTAGCTTTACCTTGTCTGGGAAGCACTTTATCTGCCCTTCTATTTTAAATGATAACTTGGTTGGATAGAGTAATCTAGGTTGTAGGTCTTTGCTTTTCATCAGTTTGAATAGTTAGTTCTTGCCAGTCCTTCCTAGCCTGCAAAGTTTCTTTTGAGACATCGGCAGACAGTTTTATGGGGTCTCCTTTGTAGGTAACTATCTGCTTTTCT